TTTTTTTTTTTTTTTTTTTTTTCCTTCCTTTTTTTTTTTTTTTTTTTTTTTTTTTTGCAGCAAATCATTTATGGCACCGGTTCTCAACCTGTGAGAGGGGTCGCCTAAGACCATCTGAAACATACATATCTACAGCTATGAAGTAGCAACGAAAATAATTGTGTGGCTGGATGTCGCCACGACACCAGAAACTGTATTAAAGGGTCACGGCGTTAGGAAGGTTGAGAACCGCTGATTTATGGCACTAAATCCACATTCAGCTAAATATAAAGATGGAAACGGTAGCAATTTTTTCTTGCACAATTATGTTGAATCAGGATATTTAATTTCTGTTTCTTCACAAAGCCAAGCCATCGCTTCTTCTATATTAAATAAAGTTTTAACTGACTCGTCATTTTTCATTTCTGAGAGTTCTTCTTAATACTGCATGTTTTAAATATCAGACAAATCCATTAAAATTTACTGCATCATCCAAGTCGGAAAATTAATTTGTTTCAAATGAGAAAATCTTTCTTTTAGATCAGCCGATAGAATTTTCATACGATCGTCTATAACACGTATAGCGGTATCTGTCACTTCACATTTTTGGGACCATTGAAACTTTTCAAAATTTTTGTTGTAAATATTTTTCTGACATAATTCAATAAATTTAATGAAACCAAATATTTTCGCTTCTACATGGACAAGAGTTGTATTTACTGACTGAAGTTGATTATTTAATATATTTAGTTTTTAAAAGATAGGCCTATCGGCTAAATAACTCACAGATGCTTTACCATCGACCGGTGTGTCACTTCAAAAAATTGCAAGAGAATCAAATAGTTCCATAAATCTTTCCAAACAATTCCCTTTCGAAAGGCATCTTACTTTAATTTAAAGTAATAGTCTCACATAGTCTGCATTTTGTTCTTCACAAAATAGCTTGAAAAGACCTTGACATTTGTCATTAACTTTAATAGTTAATAGCATTGATACACTTTATAACTGAATTTAGTACTTTCTTTCGAACAGGCGAAATGTTTTTAGCTAGTAAGTTTTCCCAATGGATAACACAATGCACAAGTAGCATTTCTGGATTCTCATCTTTCATCAATTATAAGCAGCCATTTTTCTTGCCCATCATATAAGGAGCACCATCTGCAGCACAAGATGTTATATTTTTCATTGGTATATTATTGACATCTAAGTAATGTTTTAAGCTTAGTATATAATTATATCTTTGGTGGTAGTGGTGCTTTCTAATGATTTACAGAACAACATTTCTTCGGCAAAATATCCTTTATCAGTATATCTTACGCAACCTATCAATGCAGCCTCACTGTCTCTCAAAGTTGATTCATCCATTAGCACTGATAATTTTCTTGTTTTCAGCTTTTCAACAATTTCAATATCTTCACTCATTTCGTCTATTCTTCTGATAACAGTATTGTTACTGAGTGGCATAGCTTTCACATCTTTGACATCTTTTTTCCAGAACCGTTTTAAGAAATGTTGATATTGATGGTTTGATTAAATTCCCTCCTATGGCATGATTTTTCCCAGATTGAATAAGGAAATTTCATAACTAGCCTCAAGAGTGCGATTATCAATTGCCTTAATGTTGCTATTTATTCAAAATTTTTATTTAAAGTTTGAAAGTAATTCAAATATGACTTAATATTTTCGAATTGCACTCCTAAACAATCAAATTGCCCCCCCCCCCCTGTGGGGCGTGGGCTCCACGTTGGGAAACATCGGTCAATAGGCCGTTTACATATATTATTATATTACATTGTTATTACATGTGGGTTCAAGAGAAAAAATTTGGGGGGGGGGGGGGGAATCGATTAACTTTCCAGGGGGGGCAACAATTTTTTAGTAATGTTTTAATGTAGTTTTAATTTACTGTAGCGTATTTGTATGCTGAATGAACGGACAGGACATCAACTTAGTTACTTTCTCTTTATTTTCTCTTTACTTTAATACATTTTTTGTTTATTTTGTCTACATTTTTTTAATCCAATCAATCCAGGGGGGGGGGCAAGCGCCCCCTTGCCCCCCTGCGGGCGCCCATGCCTAAAGTCTAGACTCTTATGACCCTGGCCAGCTTTTCAGCAGCTTGCCTAATTTAATTAAATCATTAACACGGATCGCCATGTTGGACCTTCCAGGCCCCGCTTCGTTTTCAGGGCATCCAAAGAGCAGGTGCTCTACAGTTTCGGTGGCCAGGCTTTATAGTCGGGTGTTCGGGTCCCTACACGAGTCAAAATAGGTTAGATGTGTAGCTGATTGTTGAACAGTTTTCCGTTCGCATCTGCATCGATAGGCTTTATTCGTTGCGTTTTAGTTTCCCTCAAGGGTCGCTCTTACTCGGCCGAGGCATATTCTGGTACAGCTTTCGTGCCGCGTCAGCTGCTGCCCAGCCACTCCTCGCGGAAGTGGTCTTTGAGCCAAGCTCTGACTCTCAGATGAGTCATGGACCTATAGCAGTGGTTGGCAAATCGCGGCTCGCGAGCCGCATACCGCTCTTAGGAACTCGAGTACGCCTCGGTCAGTCGGCCAAAAATTGGGTTTGACTCCGAAAAGCATGGTTATTGACAGGTTCTTGAAAATAAATTTGGCTCTCAAATTTTTTAAAATCGTCCCGCTGCTGATTTTTGTCTCTTTTGAGTACTGAGTTTTCCGACCACTGGCCTATCGGGTTGTGGCTGAGCTGCACGTTCTCGCGTCAGGGTGTCCGCCCGCTCGTTCTTCTTCACCTCAACGTGACAAGGAATCCACTTCAGGGTTATTTTTCCGACTCGTGCATGGATGCCTTCTTCTGTCTCCAGAATGGCGTTTGTCACTGTCGTTTTCGTCGAGCTCCTACCCACACTTTCAAGATCAACGCACTAGTCGTTTAAAAACGACAATGTTTGGAAAACGTTTCCTTTTCGCTAGACGTCAGCGCACTTGTTTCATTCAGGGTGACCAATTTCTGTGTCGAAGTTGGTTCTCTTTCTCCCACTGGGCCCTGAAATCTCCTCAGTTGGAAGGACCTCCCCTGGCCACTGTATGAGTGTGCCGTATCCACTTTTATTTCCGCTCGCAAAACGTGAGCCGCCTTTGAAGACTTGTATCATTTGGTCTGAAAAGGCGTTTATCGTCGTTAAAGCTTCCTCCGTATGAATGACTGGCTTTAGTGATCGCAGGATTAGCCAGAGACAGATGTATGTCAGGAAGATTAAAGCTTTCGTGCAGGCCCCATGCCAAGATGAACCAAACCCAGTTTATGGGTATGGGTAGGTTTTCCTCTAGCTAACTGACCGCGTCCATGAAGGAGGGTATTTTTAACATGGTCCACTTTAAACATTGGTATTGGAGTTGGAAATAAGGCTCCATTCTGTCTAACCATCGGTATATTTCTTCCATGGTTAATATAGCTTTTTTTTCTCTTCTGACTAGAGGTTTTAAGTCTTCAAGCATTTTCCATTCATCTTGGTCCTGGGCTTTCCTTCCCAGTTGCTTCCAGGTGTATCCCATACTTTGTGTGCCTGCCCCTAGCTCACGTCTCCATGTATTCTTTAGCCTTACTCGCCTCCCTTTCTCCTGTGGATTCCATGTTAAGAATTGCCTGGTGGTGTTATCTGGGGTTTTTTGAAGAGTGTGCCCTATCCTCCTCCATCTTTTCCTTATGATGCCTTCAGTCATAGATTGATGCAAGGTGTAAGGGGAAGATGGTAGAGTTTAGGAATGGGGGTGGGGGGTGGTAGGGTTGAGGGGAGTGCAATTAGTCTAGGTAGAGCATAGGGAAGGGTAATGGGAAGATGTTCATTATTTTTTTTGTAGTTATACGGGAAAAGGATGGTATTTTCCTAAACAAGTGTAGGCTTGTAGGGGACTTGTTTATGGATGAGAAGAAGACACAGAGGATGAGGATGGTCGGATGGTCTTTTAAAGGACAGAGCCAGGGCGGACTTGGGCTTCAAGCTAGTTTTTTATTATAAAATTTACGAGCACAAATGTAAAACTACTAATAATAAGTAATAATCATCAACATACTTTACAAGTAATTTGACCAATTCTATAAATATTTACCAACGAACTGAATGCATTACAGCGTGCATGATGTCATTTACTATTTTTAGCCAAAATCACAGTCCTGGGGCAACAAAAATTTCCACTAGATTTTCACAAATGGGGTCATGACGTTGGTTTATCGGCTGTTCCATGAGATAAACATGCTTTGTCGATAATTAGAAGATTTTTATAAAATAAAGGACTAAAAGTGTATTCAATTTAATTTCATCGTTTATTTACATAAAATGACGCTTTTTTGTTCAATTACCCACCAATTCACTCCTTTATGATTAAAAAGAAAAAAATTAGTAAGAAGTAATTATGCTAATATATCACATGTACCAGTGACGTGTTTCCCGTAACGGTAATACTGATGGTAAAAGTGGCAGTAAAGGAAGAAAGAAAGACGGTGGAAAAAACCACCAGTCAATTATTTGTTAACAGTCACAACCGTTTACTATATTTAAAATTTGGAGATAGGTTTTATCATTATCATCATTCCTTCTTTGTGTATATTTTTATATTGTTATGCGTATTATCTTTGATCATCCTTTTTTGATGTGATGAACCGAACTGCAAAATCGTAGAGTCGCCTCTTTTGTTTTACCACCAATCAAAGACAGGCCCATATTTAACTACGGCTTTCTCGGTTGTGGCCGATCCAAAACCAACGATGCCTATGGCACAATTAGACACCACAGGTAATAATTATATTGCTTTTAATTCTTATTCCCTTTCGTTTAGACTCTTAGTCACTGATACTGATACTAAGTGATTAGTTGTACTCAAATGTACTGTATTGTCATTAGATTGTTTTAGGCCTGGCTAGTGTTATTGTCAGCCAAAAGATGTCTCATAAGAATTGAGACTAATTTTGAATTATAATGGTGAAAGATATAGCGTCGGTAATTACATACTTAGATAGATGGCACCCACTACCATACTGGAAATACTTAAGCAGACAACAGAAAGTTTCTGTTTTAAAAGAAATTTAAATCCACAATGGCAGGAAGACCACGAGCGTCAATGACTATTGACTATTGTACCACCACACAAAATACTGAGTAAAAACGACATGTTAAATGAAGTGTGGTACTTGTTGACGCTTTAACCACACTTGCAACATTCTGCATTACAGTGGTGTGCCTGCCGCAATTTGATTAGCAACTCGGTATCGTGCGGAATATGCAATCAGCTGTGCACATTGAATCGGTACCAGCAGAGATTGACGGTAGGAGATGGGCATGCGACCGTTGTGGGTACCGCCTATCTGTATGACACAATTTGTTTTTCACGCAGTCAGTTATCATTACAACAAATTGTCACAGTGGTGTATTGTTGGTCGTTTGATATGCCACAGATACAGCACGAGGCAGCTGTTGCCGAAAAACTTGTAATTGATTGGTGCAACTACATGCGAGAGGAGTGTGGAACTTGGCTGGAACGTAATGCGACCGAAATTGGTAGAAAGACGAAATGGAGAACCTATAATTGTGGAGATAGATGAAACGAAATATTTCCATCGGAAACATCGTTGTCATTGGCGGGATGGCCACTGGGTCTTCGGTGGGGTTGAGCGCGGAAGTGGCAAGTGCTTCTTGTTGGAAGTGCCAGATAGGTGTGCAGAAACGCTACCAGCCTCTATAGGAGCTCACATCTTGCCAGGGACACACATCGTTTCCGATGGCAGGGGTGCATATGCACGCATGGATCAAATCGGACACGGAATATACGAGCATTCTGTTGTTGTTCAAGAACGTAATTTCGTGGATCTTGATGACAGCGAAGTGCATACCCAGAACATTGAAAACATGTGGATGAGAGCAAAGCAGAAGTTGAGAAGACAATTTGGAACTAGTAGTGCATCGTCCCGTCATATCTGCAAGAATTTGCCTATCGTAACCAGTTTTGGTGCACAGACATGTTTCCGAACTCCCTGATTACGCTTGTCGATAACTATCCGTGATTAGACAGTCTGTTGTGGTTCAGAGTAGAAAGGTGCTTTAAATAAACTTGAAACTGTTAACTACAGTTTTGTTGGGTGTATTTTCATGTTAATAAAGCTGTTTTGGGTCTGTTTTGATTATTAAATTACTTATAATTTAAAAGTCTAAGTCGACTATAAAAGTTAATTAAGTCTTAGAAGCTAGAAGTCTCTAAGTTAGTAATAGTACTAACAAATATTGTATAGACTGTGTATCCATCCGGTAATGTTTGGATTTGGGGGACGAGTACCTGGTATTCAGAAATCTTAGTACAAGTTCAATCAATGAGTAGAAAGCAGGATACAAGCTATGATTGTTTGTAGTTAGTGCAATTGTCAGGAAGAAGAGAGACAGTGACAGTAGGAACAATCCTTGAAAGTGTTTTTATTTAAAAATGTAAAAAAATATGTGTTACCAAATGAATTTTGGATGATGAAGGTATCTTCTGATGAATTTCCACCTCTATGGAAATGTAAAAAAAAAATTGGTGACCATGGTTTTGGAAGCACGTACGTTAGTGAAGCTGGATTCTCTGTTATGACGAATATCAATTGAAAAAAACTTTGACTGGTGAACATTTAGAAAATCTAATAAGGCCAGGTGCTACTAAAAAAGAACAGCAGCTTAAGAAAATTGAAAATTCAATTAAAAACAAAATATCTCATTAAAAAAGCGCAACAGTTTTTATGTGCTGTATTTATACTCTTGATTAGCTGAGAATGCTATTGGCTATAAGATTCTTTATGCTTAAAGTAAGAAGTATTCACGTAAGAAGTGAATGTGAATAGTATAAAGAACAGTAAAATAAAAATATCTTTTGAGATTTCATGTGAAACCCTTGGCTTTGCAGGTAATTTTCTAATGCCCACTCGGTGAAGAAGGTTGGACAGCACTGCCCTATTATTATAGTATTTCTATGCATCATGCTTATTCTTTGATTTTCATTTATATCTTCAGATTTTCAATAAGCCTTAAGCCTTCTATTGGCTAGTACTTCTGTTAGCATTAAATATTAATACAGTTGAATATTGAATTATTTCACCTAAAGGTCTAGCAGAGCTAGCTCACAGGGAGTATCAAGCAGGTGATTATGAGAGATCAGAACAGCACTGCATGCAACTATGGCGCCAGGAACCTGAAAATACTGGCGTCCTCCTACTTCTCAGTTCCATACATTTTCAGTGCAGGCGCCTTGAAAGGTAATATTACACTCTTACTCTTATGATATTTTGAAATGTCTTCATTTTAAGTAGATTTTACTGAAATGATGGATCATTTAGTGAGGTTAATTTTTTTTAAAAATGTTTTTAGGCCATATGATTATAATTAGGCTTAAATGATGGTGATTGTTAACCCTTACAGTACCGGGCACGTCTTTTGCAGTTGCCTACTTTTTTTGCTGTGGCCCAAGCGCGACTATTTGTCACATCGAGGAGTATCTTATGTAAACACAAAAAGGATATAACCTTTCACATGTCTCAGGCAGAATGTTTATTCGTTAGGGGAATAGTCAAATTTTGTTTTGACTTTAAATTGTGAAAATTTACCAATTACTGAGTTTTTTGTGCGGATCTGTATTTGTTTCCATGGCGCTACATAGCGATATTGTTGACAATTTATGCCCACTTGATGAAACCTTTTGTTCTGAAACTATTATTGAGCTTTAATTGGGATTAGATGATTCTGATGCTGATGAGGAAGAGGGAGATGAAACTGTTGAAGGACATAGCTCAAAATTTACGCCCACAGGGGCCAGTAGGTTTGACAGGATTTAGACCTAATGCCAATGTAGATATTGATTTAGTAAGATCGACTGGACACTGTGCTAGCCACACAATCCCCTAGTGTGCCATTGCCAATGAAAAGTGTGAACAAAACACGTTAGTATTTTTAACACCCTTATCCATTTCTGAATAGATGATTCTCTACATGTTATTATCAATTGTTTAAAACAAAAAGTTACAAAATAATTTGCAAACCTATCAAATTTTGGCTTGAAAATAGTGTCTGGGCCAATGTTCCCTTTAGGCTGCGCGGCCACGCAGCAATCTCACAGATGCCGCCCAGCAGTTTTGAGTACCGCGCAGCTAATTTCCAATTGTGTGTTTGTGTCTGTAAGCTGAAAATTTTGCCCACATTAAATTGATGCTGTAAAATTTGCACACTATTTTATGATTTTGCACACGAATCAACAAACCTTAGAGGGAACATTGGTCTGGGCCACAGGGAATAATTAGCAAAATAATAGGGGTTTAATAGCAAAGTAGATCATTACCAGAAGGGTTAATTTTCTTTTTTTCGCTTTAAAGTACCTTGAATTTGTTGATATAAAACTATTTTCAAGTTTTTTCTTTTTTTTTCTTCAAGTTCTGGTTTTACATATTTTGATATTTATTTCTGTATTATCTGTTTAAGTCTTCTTAGTTTCTTCCCATTTGTGTAGTTCTTTGGGCAAACAATGATTATCTTTTTCTGTCCCTCTAAAAAGCATTTTTTTCTTCTTTTATTCCATAGATCAGCATATTTTAGTCAGCTGGCTATCAAACAGAACCCAATGTTAGCAGAGGCATATTCGAATTTAGGAAATGTATATAAGGAACGAAACCAGTTGTCTGAAGCTTTAGATAATTATCGCCATGCTGTACGTCTCAAGCCTGATTTCATAGATGGATACATAAATCTGGCTGCTGCACTAGTAGCTGCTGGTGATATGGAGCAAGCTGTGCAAGCTTATGTCACTGCGTTGCAATATAATCCTGTAAGTTTTTTCCCCAAAGATATAATTTTAACTGCCTAGTCATACAGATAAATTTTGACACAATTTATAAGTGGAAAGTTATTAATACATTGCATAATTTTCTTTTAACTGATTTTCTAAAAAATTCTCAATGCTAAACCTTATTTTAAGTGATTTTTCTTTTCATTCTCAGGACCTGTACTGTGTCAGAAGTGACTTGGGAAATCTTCTCAAAGCTTTGGGTCGTCTGGATGAGGCTAAAGTAAGATCTATCATGCCCATGATTCTCTTTAGAAACAAACATCAGTTAAGGAACTCTATCTGTAACTAACAGGCTAGCATGTTTTAGAAACTTGATGCAAGCATTCCCAACACTGCTAATATATTTTGTTCAATTTTGAAGGAAAAGCAAACTGTTTATAAATTGGCATACATTTTGAAATTTTTAAAAAAGTAAAAATTTTCCGAAAAAGAAAAATTTAATTTAATTTAAATCTTGCCATACAGAGGATGCTGATGCTGTTTGTTTAAATTTGGGGCAGAAATCAGCCTGAAGTAATGCAGCCTTATCACTTAAAAAAAAAAATTTTGGCATTTTAAATAATTTTACTTGCTATACTTCTATTAAGTATGAGGAGGGAATAAGAGCCACCTTAAATTGGAGAAACTGTTAGAAATTCCTAGACTGCATTACTGTGGAAGCAATGAATTGCACATCTACCTAATGTAGAAGCAATTTCTTGTGTATGAAATTATGTTCATCAAATTTTGAGTTATCCTTAGTGGCAGCCAAACGCATCAGCATGACTTTGTATACAGTTTGCTTTGCATTACTTTTACAGAAGAAGAACTGGCAGCTGCTGCATTTTCAATTACACCCATTCCCATAGTCACTGAATACAACTTATTGCCAATCTTTTTGCATTCTTTAGCAGACCAGATATCCAAATTAGTAGTAAAAAATTTGCCTTTTAATTCTTCAGTTTTTGAGTTACTGAGTTTTGTAGGATTAAACGGCAAATATTAACTGTTCAAAGGGGGTTTGATTTTTACTAAATATTTTTTGACAAAGATATACAGTATTTGAAAAGTTTGGCAACATGATTTTTTTTTTTTGTTTTCAGCTTTCCCAATCCACACTTATAGAAAATCTGCTTTTATTTCACAGCTGTCTATTATCAGAAGGCTCAAAATTTAAAAAAAATTATATAAAAATAATCAACTACTAAAGATTATCAAATTCTCTACAGCCTCGTGGAGTGTGATTTTCAAATCTTTTGTTTTAATTTTTTTTTTTAATTTTGAGCCCTCGATATTTCTTTGGGAATGCTTAACATATTTTTTTTTTTTTTTAAAAGTCATTTATTCGTAAAGGTTATACATAAAGATTCTCATCTAAAGAGGAATGTTATCGTCTTCTATTTCATTATTTCTAGAATCTTTTCTTATCTTTCTTGGTCTTTTCATCTTTCTTGGTCTTTTCTGAATCATTCAGAGAAGGGGTGAGGATTTTAAAAATCTGGGATAAGGCAAGCAAAGCTAATGTCTTTACTTTTTAATTTTTGGTTTATAAATAGATGGAGGGTCCATTCTTCATGTTCGACAATGCCTCCACAGAGTTGCAACAGTGGAATTAAATCACCCCTGTACTGATGGAACTGAAAAAGCTCGGTATGATTATATGACTAAATGGTTTTAAAATTTTCATCAAGGTATTGTATTGTTTGTGATGTACTGTTTTGTATCTAAAGGATGGCCTTTTCCAAAATACTCTTCTCAAATGTAGGGCTATATCTAAGCAGGTAAGAGGATAAGGAATAACTTTATAGCCCATTATATCCCTATCTTATATTTGTACATGTTCTTTGTTTTACTCAAGATGTAACTAGAAGCCGGTAGACCCAGCAAAATAGAACCACAGGTACTGTCTATGCAGAATTGTTATTCGGCTCAGTAACTGCGCACAAGCGACGCTTATTGCGCGAGCTATGCCCTTTCAGTGCAGCATAATCAAACTTTTGATCAATATCTTTGTGATATTCCTCATTTAATTTAACTTGTAGAAAGATCTGTACATTTTACAGAATTTAAATGGTGCATCCGAAGGGTATGGTGTTAGTGATGCAAGCTTAAGAAAGCTAAAGGCTGCAAATGTTTTACAGTTTGTTGTCACCCTTTAGGTTTCTTTTATCACCCTGCGAGTTGCAAAAGCATAGGCGAGGCATTAGGCGTCAAGCATGGCAGCTAGCAAGCAGCAGCAGAGCGCATCAAAGCAGCGTCCGCAGCTAACAGCTTTTTTTGGTGTTTTTGACACAATATATCATTGTTGACTTTGGTCCATCCCCAAACCCGGTTTCAGGCTTGTTATTTGAAAGCTATTGAAACATGTCCAAACTTTGCTGTAGCTTGGAGTAACTTAGGCTGTGTCTTCAATGCTCAAGGAGAGATTTGGCTTGCCATTCACCATTTTGAAAAGGTAAGTGTTTTATGGTTTATATTAGCTGGTTAAAAGAGTAATTGATTTAAAAGGAAATAAATACAGCTTGTATTTAAAACCCTTTGTACATTTTAAAAAAAAAAAAAAGATAGTTTTACAAACATGATTAACAAATGTTGGAAAGACTATTTTTTTCTGTATCTTTTGTTTTAATTTAATTTTTATTTAATTTTATTTTTAGGCTGTTGCATTGGATCCAAATTTTCTAGATGCTTACATAAATCTTGGAAATGTTTTAAAAGAAGCAAGAATATTTGACCGGTATGAATTTCTTTTAAATTAAGAATAATTAATTAATTTTACAGTGGTTCAATTAATTACTTAAAATGTCTTTTAAGAATTTGGTTTTAAACATTTCTTTTCATCATCAGGTCTGTTGCTGCGTACTTAAGAGCATTGAATTTAAGCCCCAATCATGCAGTGGTCCATGGAAATCTTGCATGTGTTTATTATGAGCAAGGACTGATTGATTTAGCTATTGATACATACAAAAGGGCTATTGACCTTCAACCAAATTTTCCTGATGCTTACTGTAATTTGGCAAATGCATTGAAGGAAAAGGGACAGGTAATATAATTTTTGTTTTGTTTTAAATTGTATTTATTTACTTTTTAATTGATGTGTAAAATAACTTTCTGAGATCAGAAAATAGGCCTTCAAAATTATTTTCTTATTTTACAAACACCCAGGTCAAAGAAGCTGAAGAGTGTTACAACACAGCATTGCGACTAAGTCCTACTCATGCAGATTCACTCAACAACCTAGCAAATATCAAGAGAGAACAGGGAAACACAGAAGAAGCTGTAAAGCTTTATCTTAAGGCATTAGAAGTGAGTGCAAAGAATTTTCCATTGGATTGTTTAGTGATTAAGGGAATGTGTTTATTTCATTTAACCTGATAGAACCCTCTAACGCGTTGTTTCCCAAAGTGGGGCCCTCCCCACAAGGGGGCAATTTGATTGTTAAGGAGGGGGTTTCCAAAAATGAGCTGTCTAGAAATTTAAATCTAATCGCCATGAGGTGCATTTAAAGCCCAAACATAGTTTCAAACCTTAAAGAAAAAAATTGGAAAAAAGAACAACCTTAAAGTGGTCTGTTTACTGCTCACACTGCACCTGTCAATCGTACTTTTGAGGCTACCTATGACATTTCTTTACTCATTAGGTAAATCTGAGAAAAATCATACTATATGAGAGAATTTAATAATTATCAGCATTTCTTAAAACTGCTCTGGAAAAAGATGACAAAGGCGTGAAAGCTATGCTACTCAATAACAATACCGTTAGCAAAAAAATAAGATGAAATTAGTGAAGAATTTGAAATACAACTTGTTGAAAAACCGAAAGCAAAAAAATTCTCAGTGCAAATGGATGAATCAACTTTGAAAGACAGTGGGGCTGTACTGATAACTTTAAGATATATTGATAAAGGAGATTTTGCTGAAGAAATATTGTTCTGTAAATCGTTAGAAAGCACCGCTACCGCCAAAGGTATATATGATGAGCTAAAAAAACAACTTAGATTTATATAATATACCAATGAAAAATAAATATATTTGTGCTGCAGATGGTGTTCCTAATATGACGGTTAAAAAAAATGGCTGCTTTAAAATGATAAAATAATGAATAATAAATATGATAAATAATTTAACTATTTGAGAAAATCTTTCAATTTACTCTTGAATTTCAATTCTCCATTATACGTTTTAAAAATTTACTTGTTTCCTTATTTTATATACATATAGATATATTCCAATCCCCCTTATATATATATATATATATATATATATATATATATATATATATATATATTTATATATGATATTAATGTAGATATATATATATATAGATATGTATATATCAAAGGGGGATTGGAATTTTAGAAAGGCCTAGGTGGCGCATGGCAGGAAAAGGGTGGGGAAACACTGCTTTAGAGTAGTAACTCATTTCCTACGGCAGTGCTACTTCCATACTACTTAATTTATTTGCCTGAGAAAGGGAAGTAACTCTGTTTTGCAATTGATTTACATTTGTAAAATATTTATTTGAGCTGCTAAATCTTATTTAATGTTAATGAATTAAGAACAAATGCAACAAAAAACATAAGATTTAATTTTTTTTAAATGTAACATTAGCGGCGAAAAAATAACTAACAGTTGCCAAAAAAAATACATTTTCGGCATCTTGGGCGAACACATGCTACATATAGACGCGCCATACTAAAGTATACGAAGTTTTAAAGTGAAACAAGAAATCACGCTAAACCACGCGCCATCGCTGGAAGTCTCAAATTAAATTTTATTGCTATTTTTAAATAGAAATGAGAGAGGTGTGTCACTATGCGCCGGGACGCATCTGTCGAACCCCCCAAAGGACGCATTTAGTCGCAACCACCAGGAATGGGTTTATGTGACTGGACAAACCTTTCACTTTAATTTTTTTTTTTTTAGGTCTACCCAGAGTTTGCGGTTGCTCATTCTAACCTTGCCAGTGTTTTGCAACAACAGGGGAAATTACATGAAGCCCTCATGCATTATAAGGAAGCTATTAGGTTTGTTTTTTTTAAATAAAGACCTTCCACATTCCAACTCGTTAAAGCTTGTAACACCAGATGGATCTCAGTTTCTTTAAAACTTAATATCTAAAGCTTTTTCCCATTAAAAGTTCTAAAAGTCTGATTTATGCTAATCTTGATGATAACTTGGTCTTCTAACATTTTATTGATTTCTCCAGGATATCGCCAACATTTGCAGATGCTTACTCCAACATGGGCAACACATTAAAAGAGATGCAAGATATCCAGGGTGCTCTACAGTGCTATACTCGTGCAATTCAGATAAACCCAGCCTTTGCTGATGCTCATAGCAACCTAGCTTCCATTCACAAGGTATTTTTTTTATTACCATCTAACTCAGCGGTTCTCAACCCATGGGTCGCGAACCCTTTCCCAGGGGTCGCCTAAGACCTTAGAAAAACACATATCCTCTTTAGTTATGAAGTAGCAATGAAAAAAATTTAGTGGTTGGGGGTCGTCACAACATGAGGAACTGAATTAAAAGGTCGCGACATTTGGAAGGTTGAGAACCACTGATCTAACTGCTTTTGAATCCATATTTCTGTTTCTGCTTAACTCTTTCCCTCCGGAATTATTTTCCACGTTCTGACGGAATTATCTATTTTGGGTTTTTGTTATGCACTACTATGTTTTCTCTAGACCTTCATAACTTTTTTGTTTTTAATCAGAAAATGTTAATTTTGGTATGGAATTAAAGGGAAACAAGATTTGGGTTTAAATTTTATTAAATAAATGTGATTGTGATTTAAGGAAAATAAAAATTTATTTTAAAAACACTCACCAAATGTTCACAAAACGCTAATTCGAAGTCACACGAAGAGAAATATATAATCCAAAGTGTAACAAAAATGTTTTTTTTCTGAACTATATCCATATGTGCATCACAAATAATAAAGATAAACTTACAAAAAAGAAAAAATTAAACCTCAGAACACATCCATTGTCACCTTCACACAAAAATTTAGCAAAAAAATTTACTTATTCCACTGAAAACAATCTGTTGCTATTTAAAAAATAATTGCACTGGATCCTTGTATGTACTAACATTTATAATAGTAAATGGAAAATTTACCATACATTAGTCACATATTTCCATCTGGGCTTAGCAATAGTAAGCCTAAAAAACAATCCATATGGATGTGCCCTTTAGCTGGGGGCGGGGCTGGTTGTTCATCAGCTGATGAATTACCAATTTCATTATTTTGTCACTAATACTACTAATACTAGTACTAGGATTATAATCATACAATTCAACAGAATCAGCCTCTGCATTTGAAATCACAGATTCACTGTCTGAATCATCATCATAATAATATTTTCCACCTTATTAGATTTATCACCAGATGGGTCAGGTCAAGATTTCATGTTTGTAAACAAAAATAAAATGGACAATCAAAACAACCGCTTCAAACAATTCGTTCTTCGTTCAAACACAGTAAAAACGGATGTTTATGAAAGGGAAATCATTCTAGAATTGATTTAAAATAACTTAATACCAATAGCTAAGAAAAGAACCGAAATAAACAGGTTTTTATACATTGACTATCCCATCGCCGATACGCCAAAATCTTCATTTCAAATCGACGATGGGAGCATTTATCCGGAGGGAAAAAGTTAAATTCCTTAATTGCAGTTTGAAATTATTCAACTCTTTTTTCAGGATTCAGGCAATATACCGGAGGCCATTGCATCTTATAGAACAGCTCTGAAATTAAAGCCAGATTTTCCTGATGCATATTGCAATTTGGCACATTGTTTACAGGTTAGCTATATTTATTTCAAAATTGCAATCACTTACAAAATTGTCAAAACCAAATAGTCTGTTATAAAAGTTAACATGCTGTCATTCTTCTTTTACAGATTGTTTGTGATTGGACGGACTATCCCAGTCGCATGAAGCGTCTTGTACAAATTGTCAATGACCAACTAGAGAAAAACCGCCTTCCGTCTGTACATCCCCATCACAGTATGCTCTACCCTCTTACTCACTCTATGCGTAAATCAATAGCTGCACGACATGCAAGTTTGTGTCTAGAAAAGATAAATGTTCTTCACAAACCCCCTTATCACCATCAGAAAGAGCGCCTCTCAAGTGGTGGTAGATTACGTATTGGTTATGTCAGCTCTGACTTTGGTAACCACCCAACTTCTCATCTGATGCAAAGTATACCAGGTCACCATGACAAAAGCAGAGTGGAGGCAAGTTAATTTATATATATATATTTAGGAGATAGCGATTTACCCCTTCTTCCTTATGTATGATAACTGACTAGTTTGACCATTCTACATGGAGAAATTCGAAACCCACAACCTCCTGGTGATGCAGTTTACACACTACTGGATTCTCTTTTTTATTGACTGGCATTACAGCAGACTGGCTTGTGCTAATGTATAAGCTTGTTTGAAGTAGTGCTAGAATATTTTGCAGGTGTGGCATATTACCTGAAGAATTTCTTGTTTTCAGGTTCGTAAATCCTGCTAACATGTTCTTTGAAGTCCTAATATCAAAAAGATAAGTTTATCGCCTAATTGTTGACTTACTCTATATTTCAGAAGTAAAACTTTCATTTGACAGCTGTTGTATTAATAGAATTGCCTTCATTTTCCTAGATTTTCTGTTATTCTTTGAGTCCGGATGACAGCACCACCTTTAGGCAGAAGATTTCTCAGGAAACCGAGCATTTCATTGATTTATCCAAGATTCCCTGCAATGGGAAAGCTGCTGATAAGATTCATGCAGATGGCATTGACATTTTGGTCAACATGAATGGCTATACCAAAGGTGCGCGCAATGAATTATTTGCCCTTCGACCAGCTCCTATTCAGGTTAGTTACTCAAAATATTTTAAGCACAATTACATACTATTTCAGGTTATATTTTAGATTAAATTAAATGCAAGGAAATTTATGGGAAAAGAATTCATCCTCTCAATTTTAGATTTTTCAAATATGTTTATCAGTTTAATGCATTTTTAATTTATTTCCTTTCAGGTGATGTGGCTGGGTTATCCTGGAACATCTGGTGCCTCATTTATGGACTACATAATCACAGACAAGATAACTTCACCTTCAGAACTAGCCTCACAGTACTCTGAAAAACTTGCCTACATGAAAGACACTTTTTTCATTGGTGATCACATGAATATGTTTCCTCATATGCAATACCGTCTGATATTGCGTGTAACAGATGCAAATGGTCATCCTACCAAGTCTGTCATGTACCTGAATGCTCTTGATTTAGAACCTATAAAGACTTTAGCAACAGCTATTGAAGTAAGTAATCCGTCATTTAACCTTATCCAAGTTATAATTAATTTAATTTGAAAAGTTAAGTACCGGTACATTTTAACTTATTCAACTTTATTCTCTAATTAGGAGGTGACATACACTGCCCTGCCTGGCCAAACCACTGACCAGCCTGATGGCAGTCCAGCAACTATCACCAACACAATAATAGAATTACCCCAGACTGTTGTACAATCCTTTCAAACAATGATTGCTTCCAATCAAGCCCAGATAATGGTCAACAATATTATCATTCAGAATGGGCTTACAACCAATCAGGTAAATATCTCACCTTAAGTCATTTTGAAATTTCCTTTGTTTATATAATATGCCAGAAATGGTCTTTGATAAAAATTTTAAAAATCTTGTTCACTGTGAGTTTTTTTAATTTAAATTTCAGCTAACTTTATATTAACTAAATATACTAATTTATATGAATAAATTGGCAAATTGAGCACACATCCCCAGACAATTTAAAATTTTGTCAAAACTTTTCACAATAAGAAATTTTACACAACTTTTTTTATTTAGACCAACAACAAGTCTGCTACTGGTGAAGAGATACCAAGATGTGTGATTCTTTCATCAAGACTGCAGTATGGTTTACCAGATGAGGCAATTGTCTACTGCAATTTTAATCAACTTTACAAGATCGATCCCAGCACACTGGAGATGTGGGTGAGTGTGTTTGGTATGTTATCAAAATGTTACCTTCTCAAGGCAATAGATTAAACATACTAGCAGCTGAAGGTGAGCTTAAAACTTTGTCCATTTATTTTCAGTGTGAAATTTTGAAGCAAGTACCAGGCAGTGTGCTTTGGTTACTCAGGTTTCCGGCTGTTGGTGAAACTAACATACATCAAACTGCACAGGGCTATGGCCTATCGCCTGGCAGAATAATTTTCTCCAATGTAGCTCCCAAGGTAAGCATATTTACATTCATAACACATGCATTGATTAAATCTTTTTTTAATAGAAAGTTATATGTTCTAGTTTAATCTTTTACTTAAAAATGTAAAGACAAATTAATAATTTTCAGGAGGAGCATGTGCGACGTGGCCAGGTTGCTGATGTATGTTTGGACACTCCCCTTTGTAATGGCCATACTACAGGAATGGATGTGCTGTGGGCTGGTACTCCTATGGTTACCTTCCCAGGTATGTGTAAGTCACTTTTTATTTTCAATCAGCACTCACCCTTGCAAAGTTGTACATTGAATTAACATTAAAAAGATAGAAAGTGAATAATACTTAAGAATTTTATTCTAAAATTCTATTTGTTTTTTTTCTATTAGCTGAGACCCTAGCATCACGTGTTGCTTCAAGTCAACTACATTCTCTTGGTGCTCCAGAACTTGTAGCTAACACAAGAGATGAATATGTGAAGATTGCTGTCAAACTCGGCACAGATCCCCAGTAGTAAGTGACTGAGCCGTTGTAACATTACCTTCTTAGATTATATTTTTTTCAAAAGTGGTGGAAATCTGGAAAATGTAAAAGTGTTGATACCTGGTATTAATTAGGAAGTTAAGACATACACCAGCACCATCTGCTCTGTTTATTTATACATTTTAAAAATTAAGTTTGGCATATTATTTCATTCCTTTAATTTCACAACCACAAATATTTAAGGGTTACCAGAAATTTGAAAGAAATTTCGTCAACAGTTTGGTAAAACGAAAAATTTGGAATATTTTTTTTCAGTCCACACGATCTAATTTTGCCTCAAATTTCTTTTTGAATGCTATTTAGTATGCTATTTAGTAAAACAAAAAGAAATTAGATCGTGTGGACTAAAAGAAAGATTCAACCAAATTTCTGTTTGATCAAATTTATGTTTGATCAAATTTCCGTCTATGAAATTTCTTTCCAACAAATTTCCAGATACTCTATTTAAGTGTACAAGAAATATTTCACTCGTAACACCGAGGATAAAGACCAGATATTACGTATATAAAAATTGTTACATATCATTTCATAGTATGTTTTAATTTTTAATATTTAAATGTTAACAGATGGGAGGGAGATTTCAGGATACATGTTATGTATGATGTGCTTATGATTTTCTTAAATTTAATGGGTTATACTATGTTCGCAGCTTGCAAGGCATGAAGGCCAAGGTTTGGCAAGCTCGCACCACTAGTCCTTTGTTCAGCACCAAGATCTATGCCAACAACTTGGAGAATTTATTTGAACGCATGTGGGACCGCTATGAGCAAGGTCTTGAACCTGACCATTTAATAAAACCCTGGCACATGGTCAATGGTTCTGCTTAAACTGTTCTAATAGCTTATCTGTCAGGTGAACAAGAATCAATTATTAAATAGGGATTAGTTTTTTTAAAATAATACTTTTTCCATTTAAATGTTTTCAAAAAAATGAGGCAAGCATTCGATGGGTTTTTGTTTTATTACTTGTGTAACATAGCAGGAACAAACCAGTTTTTCTTATGTTCTTGCATTTGTACATATACAGAGAACATTTCAACGTGTCTTTCTTTATAATCAATAATTCCTGTAATTTATATGTGTAAATATGCCCTGAGAAGACAGAATGTCATGGCAGTATGTGATTTGTGAAAATATGCATTTAACTTAGCTTTTATAACCTATGGCTTTTATTTCCACTAACAACTACTAAAAGAAACCTTTGAAGGGCAGTGTGTAACCTGTCTAGTTGGTTTTATTTCGGTCTAGTTGGATAAAAAGACTTGTTACTTTAGTCCATTTGTGTGTATACATTATGCAGATGAAAGTGCTCTCCTAAATTTGTAACAAGTACGTTAGCTTGATTTGTTAAGTGTTGTAAATACGCTGTATTGAGAATAGAGACATCCATGTGCATCGGCTAAGATTAAAAGAAGCCTACTGAAGTAAGAAATGATGGATAACTGATGTTGAATAATGTAGTAGACTTTATAAGCTTGACTTGAAAGAAAGTTTTGAGACCATGAAAGTGCAACTGATCAAGAGTGCTCCCCATTATTTGATTATTGTTAACTTATTCTGTAAATATGCTTTATTTGCTTAGTTAAGTCTCTTGTATGGTGGGAAAAATAAAATTGTCTTTGGGAAAAATGTGTGCCTTTTTGGTCTTTTTTTGTGTGTAAAATTCTGTTTCATTTTCATTGCATTTATTTAGTCTGTAAAATAAACTGTTTTCTTGGAACTTTCTTTGGTACACCCATTATATTAAGCATATTCACTGGTTATTACCTACTGAAATGAGTTCTCTCTAATGAAACTCAATGTAACATAACCATTATTACAAATAAGAATAGACAACTATTAAAACTAACAATATAGTAATTTTTTTTTTTTGAAATGACAACCATTTTGGGTTATATCAGTATCGTTTATTCAAGTTGAATCAATCCATATGGCTCTGATGAGAGCAAAAATCTTAAATAATTTATTTTTTTGAGGATTCTGCTTGGCACAGAAAATATACAGCAACTTAACAAGTTACAAGCTTTATCAGTTGGTGGGATGAGAAGTATTCTTTAGTTGAACTTTAATGTCTCTATTACTACTAAAAGGAAAGAAATTGTGATCAATTTCCGGAGGGGGAATCATGCAGTTGTAGATCTCAATAGAGCAGGGGAGTCAAAATCGCTTGGGGGACCAAAATTCAAATCACATGTATGGTTGGGAGCCTAATGGATAAACATTCATCAATAAGCAATCCGATCCTGCCAACTTATTGTCCGATATCCCTCACCAGCGTGGTATGCAAACTGTTGGGAGCAGATAATCGTAAGCAGTCGTGAAGCATTTTGAAAGCCAAAATATACTCGATGACTCAACATGGCTTCCGAGTCAATAGATCATGTGAGACCCAGCTCCTTGAATTTGTAGAAGACTTTATGAGCAATCTGGAGAACGGCAAGCAAACTGACGTGCTGGTGATGGATTTCTCAAAGGCATTTGACCGTGTCAATCATAGTTTGCTTCTACACAAACTTGAGAGATATGGGATCCGATGCACTACTAAAACATGGATCTCTAGCTTCCTCAGCAACCGATGCCAAGTAGTAGTGGTGGACGGCACAAGCTCCTCCTTTGTCAGTGTGAAGTCAGGAAGAAAGTGCTAGGCCCCTGTTTGTTCCTAGCATACAGTGACCTACCCGAGAAACTGATATCCCAAGCAAGACTGTTCGCAGATGACACGGCGGTAGGACATTTGCCAACAGATCTGACCAGGACCAGCTACAACAGGATCTCAATATGTTAGCTGAGTGGGAGATGAGCTGGGACATTGAATTTCACCCTGCCAAATGCCAGCCACTGTCAGTCTCTAGAAGTTGTACTCTTATACATTACCAATACGAACTGCATGGCCATATACTTGAGCCAGTTTCCTCCGTAAACTACCTGGGATTTACCATTTAAAGACAGGTCCGCTGGGACGAACAAATTAACAATGTGTGCAACCAGGCAAACAAGACCCTTGTGTAATCTAAAGATTGGCAACTCCTGTGTGAAAGAAAGAGCCTATAAAGCCTTTGTCCGTCCGGTTTTAGATTATGCATCTTCAGTCTGGGACCCATTTACCCAGAAGAGCATCAACAGGTTGGAGGCGGTCGAGCAACGGGCAGCACGCTTTGTCCTGAACTGCTGCAGGAATAACTCTTAGTGTTGACAGCATGCTGTGGGCTAGTCACTATTGGAGGAACGACGACTATCCAGGCTCTCCATGATGTACAAAATAGATAATGACTGGTCCACTGCTCCAGCATCAAACAGAAAATGGTCCCTCTCCCCGATAGACAGCGACGAGACCATGACAGGCAGTTTCGGCTCATACTAGCAAGAAGCCAGTATAGGAACTGCTCATTCCTGCCAAAGACAATCAGGGACTGGAACAAGCTTTTAATAGGAACAGTTGAGGTGACAACACTTGACACATTTGCGTCTAGAGACCGACTGAAAATGATTTTCTGATTTCGGCCGAAGCCAGGCCGAAAGTTTAAAATGCCTTCGGCCGAAACCGAAAAAAGGCAGAAAGTTAAAAATGACTTTCGGCCGAAACCGAAAATGAAATATTTAGATATTTTGAAATTCGTTCCCACATACATTCTGCATACATCGAAAATGATGAGGGAAAGTATAAATATTTACATTCTTTTTATAAAAAATGAGATAATCGTGAATATTAATAATAAACATCTAATATAACAACTTTTTTATAAAGATCATTTAGTTTGTTCTTAAAGATCGCTTTATTTGTTCTTAAAGATCGGTTATTTTGTTCATAAAGATTGCTCTGTTTGTTTTTAAAAATCTTTTATTTTGTTTTTTTTAAGATCTCTTAGTTTGTTCTTAAAGATCGCTTAGTTTTCTTTTTTAAAGATCTTTTAGTTTTTTTTAATTAAAGATCATTTAGTTTGTTCAAAAAAGATTGCTAAGTTGTTCTTAAAAGATCGCTTAGTTTGTGCTATTAAAATATTGTTTAATTTGTTCCTAAATATCATTGATTTTGTTCTTAAATATCACTTAGTTGTCCTTAAAGATCTTTCGGTTTGTTATTAAAGATCGTTTAGTTTGTTTGTATAGATCTTTTAGTTTGTTATAAAAATGGCTGTTTTTTCATAAAGATCGCTTCGTTAGTTCTTACAGATAATTGATTTAGTTTCTTAAGATCGATTAGTTTGTTCTTAAAGAGCTTTTAATTTGTTCCTAAAGAACATTTAGTTTTCTGTTAAGGATCGCTTAGTTTATTCTTACAAATCATTTAGTTTACTATTAAAGATCATTTGTTTTGTTCTTAAAGATCATTTAGTTTATTCTTAAAAATCGCTTAGTTTGTTCTTTAAGATCGTTTGGTTTGTTTTTAAAGATCGTTTAGTTTTTTCTTAAATGTCGCTTAGTTTGTTGTTAAATATCGTTTAGTTTGTTCTCAAAGATCGCTTAATTTGTTTTTAAAGATACTTTATTTGTTTTTAAAGATCGTTTAGTTTATTCTTAAAGATGGCTAAATTTGTTCTTAAAGATCGTTTAGTTTGTTCTTAAATGTCGCTTAGTTTGTTGTTACATATCGCTTTTGCTGAGCATTAGATGACCTAGAACCTCAGTCACTTTTTGGCCTGATGGCCGAAAGTCTAAGTCAATTTCGGCCGAAACCAAAAAAAAAACAAAACACGAAAGTAAACTTTTCTCTTTCGACCCAAACCGAAATTAAGCCGAAAGTTAACGTTCAGTTTCGGCCGAAACCGAAACTTGGCAGAAAGTGATAAAATGACCACTTTCAGCGTCGAAACCGAAGCCGAAATTCGGTCGGTCTCTATTTGCGTCTATTGCCTCAGGCCTTCCAACCCCCAGTGCATGATACCCTCACAAAGCAGCCCTTGTAACCTGTGAAATATTCTCAAAACCAGGCACAGAATCAAATCCCCTCTGCGTGCATAGGAGCCAAAATGATCAATCAATTGATCGTGGACCCTTAATATAGTATAGTAGTTACTATCCTAGTGTCTCATTTTTATTTTACTTAGTTTACATGTTTTTCTTAATTGTAAAGCGCTTAGAGCTTTATGGTAAGCGCTATATAAAAATGCCTAAATAAATAAATAAATAGAAGAAGAAGCGGAAAATTAATCTTTTAAAAAAAATAACATTTATATACCGGTAAATAAAAATAGAAAAAAGTTTTAATAATTAAAAATCATTGGCATAACCATTTTGGTTCTTAGGCCAGTTTGTCAGAGCTGAATGTTTGGCACATTTTCTTGGCTACCAAAACAAGTAAATTCGTTTATGTTGGGAGTAACGTTCTGTGTCATTGAGATTCTCATGATGGACTGCAGGTGTTCATCAGTGAGACGACTCCTGTGTGATTATTTGTTAATCTTCATCACAGAAAACAGCTGTTCACATGCTACCCAACATGCTCAAGCACCGAGCCGCATGTAGACGAATCTGGGTCATCTCTTCAGGAATGAAACGAGTGAACTGTGCAGGCCCAACTGTGTCGTACTTTGCCTTTAGTGTCCCATTACTCTGCAGCTCTATTAGCTCCATCTGCAAATTTAGAGGTGCTATGACAAATGGGTAAAGAAACGGGTCGAAATTAATTTCTGTGCATCAAAGTCACCGAAGCGCCGTGCGAAGTAAGCTAAGTTTTTCAGCAAAGTGTGCTTTGGGGAAACTTGGATTTAAGTGTACACGGTCAAGACCTCGCGGGACTGATATAATTGTACGACGGGCCAGATGTGGCCCGTGGACCTTGAGTTTGACACATGTGCAATAGAGCAAGTAGAGACCTTTAAGTATCTAGGCAGTGGTGTAGCTAGTGTTAGTGCCGGTCCCTTCGACGAAAAGAAACTGCAGGAGACCGAAAGTGCTGACCCTCAAAAGTCACCATTAATATCATTTAACTAACACGTGGTATGAACACGGCCAAATTCTGTAGACGGTAACAAAAATTAATTCAACCAAAGACTAGTTAAAAAAAAAGAAACTATTCAACTTTGGTGTAAACAAGTTCTACACTGCTGCAACTGGAAGTGGACGAAATTTCACTCATTTTTATGGAATTCATCGTCTGACATCAAACGCCTATTAAATACACTAATCAAAGAAGCTAGAACTAGTCATATTAATATCATCACACAAACTAAGCATCCTTTACTTGACTTGAAGAACTATCTGAAGATACATGCTGTTTGTAGCCTATAACTAAAAACAGAATTTTTGATGACACATTCCACCCTTTTCATCACAGTTACCTAAGATATCTCGATCAGGGCGAATACTTTAAATTAGGAGCGAAAAGCATACAAATTTCAATGTATTTTGTTCCCACATTCTTTCTGCACACACAAGCCTGCACCGCTTTTCAACGCACTACAGTTGGTGGGGCGGGTTGGGGGGTCGTTAAAGGGGCAGCAGAAATCTTGGCCTACCTCGGGCGGCACTAATTCTATCTACGCCACTGCTCTGAAAGTTAAAAGACTTCAATAGGCTTACTTAATAGGAAAAATAGCCAATTTGCTCCCCACCCAACTTGGGCCTCGATTTAATCTATCTTGTTATATATGTGTATTTTAATTAATAATTTGATCATTGATATAGCCACAAAAAGCTCCATAGCCTACATGTCTTGGAATATTTTGGTTTGTTTTTAATTACATATGATTAAAATTCTCCCGTTTTCGTGTAAAATAGCCTACTTAAATGCATACTCAGGTATCTAAATGTTTTAACTTTTCACATGGTTGCCCTCACTTTCATCAGAAAGCGCGTGTCTGGGCCTACAATAGCAATGTCTTTTATTTTAGTTGATTAATGACATCAATTTAAACAAAAATTAAAATACAATCATTATTTAAACATTGCCTAGTCGATAGTTTGCGAAATACTCTTCGGAGCAAACTCACACACTTAGACTTAAGATTATTCATAAACTCTCCCATTTACAAGACTGCCTATACCTATGAAATCCACCTTACGATCACTATGTGACTATCGATTGCAATTAATCTCTTCACTGTCGCACTGGCCTACTCTCTTATTCGAATTCCTCTGACAGGATTCCATAGGAACAAGTGCAATTATATCCACTCAATTGTAAGCTTGATAAAATAATGATTAATCGATTCGTTTCCCTGTCGTTCCTTAAAAGTTAAGACTCCGTGGCCGTGGCATGCTGTAGAACTGTAGAGCTAGTAGAGGACTAAATATCAAACGGGGTAAAGTCGGACTACTGGATAGCTTTCAAGTTAAATGGCAAAAAATAAAAATTCACTATTTGAATCGAGGTATTCAAAGGCGCATATATTAATAAAAAAAAAACCCGAGAGTGAATGTGGAAGATTTCACATTATCGATCTCTGATCTCTTCGCGGCACGGCCAGACCATTCAGTATTCAGAACGAATGGCAAAATCTAGCATGCTGTCTCTGGCACAGCGGCACGGAATATGTCACAACTTGTTTAGTCTTTGACTGCAAGTGTGTTGGAAAATAACCGCGTCTGCGCTGGGCACTCGGTAACCACACAGTTCTGAATAGTTCGATCTCTTCGAGGGTTGATAATATTTAAAAACAAATTAGTTATTAAACTATGGCCATGGATTTCCCACATTGACGTCTATTTTAATTTGAGAATAACATGATTGATCAATCATTAATTAATGCAAAATCAAAATTTAATTTGTTTTTGTCAAGGATAGTGGGTGATCTCTGAAGTCTAAGTTTTGCTGTGATCGGGATTAAACTTGTGTATTTTTGGTTGCCACTGTTAAGCTATGCATGTAGGCCTATCAATAAATCAACTTTCAATGGAATGTAAGTAGGCTTATATAAATATAAGTTATATTAAAATTCCCTTTAGGTTAGTGATAGTTTATGTATTTATGTGGACGAGTATTTCACCTTGATTTTTAAAAATACTCGTTGCATTAATTTATATCTCTATTGCCTTGGAATTTTTAAAATATGCCTATAATATTTATAATGAATTATCTTTCCTGAATATAAAATCATTAACAATATCGTCAATATAGCCTACTATTACAATTTCAATATTGATATCATAAAATGTATGTTAAAGTTAGTCTACTGGTGGCCTACTGACTAGGCCTACTGATCTTTAAAAAAAATTGTTCAAATTTATATGTAGGATCTCAAATCTACACTGGGACTTTAAACAATACAAGATATAGTAATTTTAATTATATTTATGATTAGGCCTATAGGAGAATACTCTTTAAAATTGTATATTGTACATTCACTATTTATTTGAATACATTTTGGGCAGTAGGCTACTTAGTTATTATTATAATGACTCACTTTTATGCTATTAATTAAATTATGATGAAGGCTGAGTAACCTGGGAAATTTTCAGAAGCAAGGAAAGATCAATAATCATTACCAGGTATATAAAATAAATATTGTACCTAAATCTTTATTACAGGAATTGGAATTGTAGTGCTGACAATATAAATTGTCAAAAAAATAATAGGTTAGCAGAGGAAATATTACAGAAAACTAGCAGGATGACTGAATGCCTCAACAAAAAGAATTTAAAAGAGGTAGGCACTTAGAATGTGGTTATAGAAAAGTATTGCAGAGGTTGAGTTGCTAAATAGATAAAGTTAGGCCTAATTCTATTTCCACATAATATCATTTTAAACTTTAAACTGGGACACCTCCCCTGTAAAAGGGGAAAGAAGAAGAACTGAAACTTTAAAAAAAAAAAAAGTGACTGTGAAATGTAAATCTAATGTAAAATATCAAAAAAATAAACCCATAATTAATAAAGTTCTTAAACTTAAAAGTAGGCACTTAGAATGTGGTTATAGAAAAGTATTGCAGAGGTTGAGTTGCTAAATAGATAAAGTTAGGCCTAATTCTATTTCCACATAATATCATTTTAAAATTTAAACTGGGACACCTCCCCTGTAAAAGGGGAAAGAAGAAGAACTGAAACTTTAAAAAAAAAAAAAGTGACTGTGAAATGTAAATCTAATGTATAATATCTAATAAATAAACCCATGATTAATAAAGTTCTTAAACTTAAACTAGCAATTGATAGACTCACTGAATCTACATAGGTAAGATACTGTCAACTCTTACATTATTTACATGTTCCTACCTTGCATGGGTTTAATATACATTAGGCCTACATTTATTCGTTTATTATGTATTTGATGCATATCAGTAGGCATAGTCATGTGTAATTCAAGTAATTTCCCATCTAAAAAATTCCTGGATCAGGTGACTTTCAGAATGGGTTAAGTTATGGATAGGCCTATGCATAAACAAAATTGAATTTTCCAATGTTATCAGTAGGAAGTGCCCTACCCCCCCCCCCACTCAAATCATCACAAATTTGTAACAAAATATAGTTATTTAGCACAAATCCCCTCCCCTAGATGCCTTGACATTATTTATGAATGTCCCCTAAGCTAGATGGGAAAACTTATTGTTTAGCTATTTATCGACTGCATGTTGCAACATATATAATAAATAAGTGTGGTATCGTATGCTTGACAACACTGGACAACTATCAAGTGTGCCCATGTGTAAGACTAAGCCCTGCTTATTGAAATATGGACATATTTTCATAATTTTAATTTATATCTGATGAGACACGCTGGCATTTTATTGAAATGTGAGTAACAAATCTTTTTTACAGAGTTAGAATTACAATGGAAACTATACTTCCCAGATGTCCCATCATAAACACTGCACGGCTGAAACCTTTCAGGCAAAGATTGAATAGAATCATTGTGAGTAAAATTTAATCTCTGTTAAAAAACATAGCTTTTATAGCTTACATTAAAATTTATGGTCAAATTATCAAGTAACCATTGTTCGGAACTAGGTAGCCATTATAATTTCATATTTGATTTCTGACTGACAATATAAATGATATACCTCACCAGTTAAACAGGCAAGCTTTATGGCTATAGTTGGGTGTAAATAACTTACACTTATGTAAGTAACAAGTAAACACATTATTCCATACTTTATTATGGGTTGCAGAATCAGGTTTGGAGTGCTAGACACAACTTCTGCTAGACACAAGTGCAAGACATCTATAATTTTTATACAATTACATTCATATTGCATTGCATATGAAGTTTTTTTGATGCACCACATTTTGATAAACCAGATTTTTTTTCTCCACTTATTCTGGTCACTTAAAGTCAGTCAAGACCATGTCGGGGAACACTTTATAATATGACTTGATAAAATGACTTTTCAAACTAAATCTTCTTATACCCGGTAGCAAAAATATTCTCCAAACTTAACAAATTTTTCCCTAAGTACTATTTATACTAGTATCTCTCATTTGCTCAATGAATGTTTAGTTTTTTCAATGCTAAAATACCTACTTCTTAGGAACTTTGGATAACTTTTACAGTGTATATGCATGTCTCTAACCAATTAAATGTCCTCTTATACTCATCAGATGACGATCACAGACAGTGGCTGTGTATCTATGGAAGTAATGACCCATCTGACAGCTCAGACAGACAGTCCTGAAATTGCTAAAGAATTGTTTCATATTTCTCCAGATGGTACTCAGGTCAGTGGGTCCATATGTCAGGTGTGCTTCTTTCACCTTCAGATGACAGAGTTGGATTTTAAACTTTTTTGGGGGAATGGATTTAATACATCATTGCATTTCTTTTTATGACAAGTTTTGAGTTTCTAAGTTACAAGCTTAATAGACAGGCTCATGATAACTGTCATATATGAAAAGCAATAGCTTTGTCCCATATCTTTGAAAAACACTTCTTGGATTTAACTATTTTTTAAAATTTCTTTTCAATGCAAACATCAAGCACACAACATCCTCTGAGTTCTTAGTTAGCATTTTAAAAGGAAGACAGGGGCAAAAATAAATTATTCTTTAAAAAAATTTTTGATTTTGTTTTTGTCAATAGATTGAAGTTTATCAAAGTGCAGAAGGCGTTTCAGCTATTGATGGATGCCCTGTGTCATGTCAACCCTATAAGGTTTACACATACCCAAATCTGCCAGACAAACAATGGAGAAAATATCATCATTGCTACAAGTAATTTTCTTCCTTCAAACTGCAGTAGAGTTTCAATATAGTGTAGTCTGTTTTCTATTAGGATGCTAAAAAGAGTAATTCTTCAACATGCATTTTTCAGGTTGGATCATTAAATCAGTTTAAAACTTTTCAAAGAAACAATTGGTCTTAAACCTGTTTTCATGCATAAAGAATTAAAATGTAAAATTCATTAGAAAAAAAGAAACTGAAAGATTGTTTGAAGGTGTTAAAAATGTATGCACTAACTATCAGACAGGTTATCAACATCTACATTACTTAAACCATGTTCCTGTACTCTACATGGGAGAGTAAAAGTTACATTTGTTTTATTAAGAATTTTTGCTTTTAAATCCCTATTTCCTAGATTTATACAAGTAGTCAAGTCCAGAACTCCAAAAATAGTTTTAATTACTGAGCATGCCCGGTGCAAATTGATGGAAAATTTTCCACATCCTGATTTTCAGGCTTGTTTTACAGATGGTGAGAACATTTATTTTAAAGGTTGATAGCAATTTCCCTTTTTTTAATTAAATAAATACTCTTGTATGACATATCGTTCACAATAATAAATCTGCTATCAAATCCTGCAATTTATAGATTGCCAAAGAATCTCTATGAGTTTTAATTATTTCATCTCTACAATGATTACAAAATATTTTTTTAATACAGTATATGAGTTATTGTAAAGGTCTAAAAGTATTGAAAGTTTGTCTTTTTTAAAACCTTTTTGAATCTAGGAGTAACAGTCCATCTGACTGAAACTAAGATAACAGTAACTGATGCACTTGGCAGCAGCCTTTCATTTGATTCCACTTCAGTGAACTGTCATGTCAATGCCAGCACGATGGAAAGAGTAGAATTTGCTAAAAAGGTAAATGAACTAGGAAATCCTTGCTTAGTTTCACTTACATTGATTTCATGATGAGCTGATGGGTTATTTCTTGGGGCAAAATAGATGGTATGAAATTAGATCATTTATAATATTTCTAAATTGATACATTATTTTAATGGGTTTTTATTTAATTTTTGTAATTTCCTTGCATTAGGGATCATTATTTTGAATGGGTTTTGAAAAAGTGTCTGGTTAAATAAAATCTAGTTGCTCTCCGGTTACCAGGTATATAAAATCTAGTTGTTCTCTCATTATGTAAAAATATAGTTGTTCTCCAGTTATAACTTATATAAAATCTAGTTGCTCTCTCGTTATATAAAATCTAGTTGTTGCTTATATTTTTTTTATTAAACATTATTTTAAAAAAAAAATCAATTTTTTTTCTCAGTGCAAAGTTCAATGTCTTGAGATTCAGGATTCAGTGAGCAGACTGAAGTCCCATGAACAGAATTCAGACCTTTTTCCCATTGTTGTGGGCACGTAAGTTCATTGTTTTGTTTTAATCATTAAATCACAAATGCATCTATAAACTGTTCGCGTTTTCTTATAAGTTATAATTAAATTTACATTTTGGAAACTTGATCCATAAATCTTACATTGTAATCAGTCATTATGATTCTTAACATAAATTTCTTCATAATTGAATTTAAGATAAAATGTGTTTAAGGAAGCAAATTGAACTTTTTTAATGTGATATTATTGTACTGTTATATTTTCAGCATCAGTCATAATAAACAAAGAAAATGAAAACACTTTGACTGACTATTATCATTTTTTAAAGTAAGACTAACTTAACATAAGTTTTAAACATTCACATTACCCATCCAGTTTCATCATACCAGCCTTCCTAGTAAAAATGCCCTAGACATTGTTTGATTTCTTTTTGAAGGAGCAGTTCCCCATTCAAGCTGTCAGCACCAATGTATAACAATGAAAATGCGGTAAACCAAAACGGCAGTCGACCCTCACTTGAGCCTCCAGTAACCAATCTACCTCCATTCACCCAACAGTCACTTCCCTTGACACACTCATTGACAGATTCTAAACCCCTTAACTCAAAGAATTACCTGTCACAAAGTAACTCCTTTTCACAAGAAAACTGTGTAGACTGTCATTTTAATGTAGAGAACCAAGCCCCAAAACAAGGAGGAAACCAATATTTGTCTTATGAAATTCAAAGTCGACAATGTCATGAAAGTGACAGCATTTCATTTTCAGCATTAGATTTTAAGGACATTCAGCAGGTCAAAGACAGTAGATGTGATTGTATGATACAGGGATTGTCAGAATCAGTGACACCTCAAACTCCCCAGAAATCACAAGATTTTGTTTTTTCCACTGAAAACAAATGTTTCTGCCAAAATACAACTACAACAGCTCATTCACTTGAGAGGTGTCCTCAAACTTTTGGCATGTCATCACAGGAAGACACTCTGTTAAATTTACCTCCATTTTTTAATGCATCATGCAGTATCTCGCAGTCGAGTGGAAATCATCAAGTTGAGTCTTATCAAATTCTTGGAGGGAATCATCCAGCAGACTGTCATGTTGATGGTCAGGTGCAAACTCCAGGTGCACCCGGAAGCACCCACGGCCATACAGCATGTATGAATCAGCAGGAGCACATCTATCAGACACCAAAGAAATCTTCAAATGTCATGCCTTATCATCCTCAGTGCTACAGCGTGGACTCCATGAAGCATCGGCACTATCTTAAAGATGAGAACAGATACAGTTTGACTCTAGGGGCCCTGGTAGATGAAACAGAGCTAAGAAATGTCAGGAAGAACCTGTTCTCAGACCTGACTTTAGAGGAGCCATTGGTCAAGCCAATGCCCTTTTCAGACCCGGAATCCCTCAGGAAGGACCTGCTGTCTTTGCAACGAACACCTTCACTTGAGCTGTCATTTTGTAATGAGACTGATGTGCCACAGTCCACCGACAACAATCTTGGACAAGCATCACGCCTGGATGTCTTGACCCTCTTGCAACACTCTCAAAATATGCCATCATGTTCAACATCTGCCCAAGTTGCACAAGTTGTACATGCAACTCATTCCAATGAAGAATCTGATTTCAACTTTGAGCAAACATTAAGCTATGTAAAAGAAAGCTGTAATAACTTACAGACATATAGGGACCATAAAAATGTCAAAGATAATAATCCTCTTATGGATGAAAATAAGGTTAGGCAGAGTGCTGCAGTCATCGCAGGGAAAGAATCAGCCATTGAGAAACAAGCTCTTCCCATACCTAATATCTGTTCATCGCCAGTTAAGAGTGTTTCTCTTCAAAAAAGGTCTTGTCCATCTCCACTCAATTCGCCTTTGAAGATGGGTGGTGCTACAGGTTCACAAAATTGCTCTGCTGGAATAATGACTGGCCACTTGACATGTAATATGCCTTTGGAAATGTCTCTTTGTCAGAGCTGTAGTGCAAACAGTAACAATAGTCCTCTTAGTTCTGCTAGTTGGAATGGCAGTTGTCAAAGTATACAATCTCATGAACACTCTTATAAATCTGACCCTAGAAACTATGAGAAGACAAACCTTGGAGTCAATTATCTACAGTCCCCTCATAAAGAGGTTATAATGTTTGCATCAAATGAAATGGATCGTAATGCGTTCAGGATAAATCGCCATCCTCATCTAAGAAATTCTTTGGACATGTCAGCCTCAAGCTACTACAGTGACAGTCATAGCAGTTCTCCATCATCAGGATGTGACCCTATTCGCCAGGTATTTGTCCCCTATTCAGGCTGGGCATCTTTCTATGCCAGTGGGTCTGTTTGGATTTTATACAATGATGGAACTCAGCTGGGTGTCAAATCTACAGAGGCTACAATTATTTATGTTGATCAAGATGGCACTCAGAAAAGGTGAGCCAGTTTTGTTCCCAATAAGTTTGTTTCATTAATATGTTTACTCATTTACTAATTGAGCATAGCATCTGTTTAAAGAAAAATGCAATACCTGGTAATCAATTTGTTCCAGGGATATTTGAGTTATATGTCTGAAACCATCAGTCACCTTTGTGTAGCTAAATCCCTTATCAAATTATGCTAATTTAAAATTGATTAATTAAATTATGTGGCTTATCCAGAATCTGGATTTTTTTTTTTTGGTGTGCTTTTCATTTTAAAAGTTTGGGAATCACTGATTGAGAGTGTTATAATTGTGTCCCATAATGTCTAAGATAATTAAACAAAGTCATCATTTATTTTATAATGATGAAATGTCATTAGTTTCATATTTATATTCTAAACAGGTACAGAAACTCAGATGTTATACCTGAGATAATCAAAATGAAGTTGGAGAAGCTCCCTAAGATTATTGAGATGCTTGTGAAGAGTCCCCCAATAACCACTGGTACTGGCATGCAGTCGTAATAGTTGCCTGGTACTTGGATTGTTTGTACTACTGGTTTTTCTGTGGTACCATAACAAGCTGATATTGATACATTGGATTGTTAATGGTGGTTATCAGATCATAATTTGTGATAGGGACATTATTATTGGACATCCATATTCGACTGGTGTTTGTGAAAATAACATTATTGTTGGACATCTGTAATGGACTGGTCACTTACTAATAGTCCCCTTTCTTAGGAATTTGTGATGTAGTAAAGCCTCTATGAACCTAAGTCTTCCTATTCACTCTCCCTTATTTCAGGTCCAAATATTCAAATCCACAATTAAAATATCCTTGACCTCAGTCAAATAACTCACATTTTACAAATTATTTTAAGTCCTAGATCACCGTATTTTTTAACATCTATATGTTTTTAAATGCATATTAATATATGTATATTTATTTATTTTTCATTATCCGAATTCTTTCAAATTGTACATAGAAGGAATATTTTAAAATTAAAATGTTTAATTAGCTTAAACAAAATTTTATAATCTGGGATGTAAAGTCATAAAGTCTGAGTCAGGCATTTTAATTTTGCCTATGTCAAAGTGCCAAATATTTCTCAGCACACAATTTTTGTTATTGGTTGATGTCCATTGTTAGCCAGTTTTACAAACCAAGAGTCCTGAAATTTGTAAATTTTTAAATGAATTTCTGTGATATTTATAAAACAATTTTTATGGTAGAATTTGTTTTGTTCCGTCCATGAACTTATTGTGCCTGTAAATATTAACTATAATTATTTCAAGAAACACAATGATTTTTATTCAGAATAATCATCTGGTATATCAAATGCCTCTTGATTAAATTTATTACATTATGAATTTTAAAATACCTTATTCCATATCTCAGGGATAGAATTAACAATGCTCAGAAAACATAATCGGGAGCCGTCATTTTGGTATCTTGATTTCAAATAAGACAAATTAAATTGGCAGATATATAAATTTAAGATATATTTAGATTACTTAGCAGTTTGGTAGGCCCATGGTATAACAGTTACTTGAAAAAGGCCCATGGTATAACAGTTACTTGAATGATTGGCTTGTTTGCTTGTATCAACACAGTTTTCTATTTTAACTTTATTCATATTTCAATTCTATACTAAAACCACAATATCCATTGTATTTTAAATTAAGCACAAAAACATTTAATCATTATACCATTCAAATTAGTATGTACAGTAGAAGTAGATCCACTAATCAATATAGGAAGTTGGGTGTCCAGTTTTTTTTTTTTTAAGCACTCCGTATTTATTGCTTATTCTGAAATTAAGCCTCTTCAAGGTTGTTCTAATGCTTTTTGAGAATGGGCTCTTTGAAGTTGCTCTTACCACTTTACATCATTCTGAGTTACCGGTAACAACCAATAAATGAAAATCAATTATTACCTAAAAACATATTTAATCTGTTAAAAGAGCTGCTAGACAGCACATGCAAATTAAAGCAGTGTCACTCTTGTGTTACTCGTTTCTAAGTCATTAACTTTCCTTTTACCAGCCATTTAAGTTATGAATTTGAAGTTGTCTTAATGTATTTTCTCAAGTATTGTGGGTTGAAGCTGTGCCCAAATTGGGTGAGGCTGCTAATTAATACTCTCAGCATTATCTGTAACAGTGCTTAAAAAATACATGTCATTTTTACATCATATTTTGTCACTGACCAGCATTGTCATAAAATATCTTGAAAAAAACAACATTTCCTAGAAATGACTGGTAATGGTTTCATGACGACCAGACCATGAGAAGCACTGTTCTCTTAAAATTTATGTTATCGGTATTTATATTATCTATGGCCCATGAAAAGGAATTTTCGATCTATGAGTAATGTGTCCAGGAATAGATTTTTTAATCATAGCCTAACAAAGTCGCTGTATGAGACAAGGAGCTGTGATACAAACACATTTTAAAACTATGAAAACTCTATGGCTCTGATTTACTTGTTCCGTGGCTCCCATCATTGAGCTCTAGAGTGTCCTGTGTTGTTTCATGAACCAGATCTAGGCAAGTTGCTTTTAAACATTTGATTCACACTATTTGCTAACTAAAATCTATTCACTTTTTTTATTATCAAAATATAAAAATTAAGGTACCATCATGGCTATAATTTGGCATGGGAGTTTAATTAAATCTTGTGTTATTGTAGAGAGCAGAGGAGGTTATAGTTGGATTGAAATAATCAAAGGGGAAGCGATCTTGGAGATTCAAGCACTTTATATAAAGAAAATTTTATGTGGCAAGTTTTAATAAAAGGAATTTAATGTAAAAATTTTTTCAATTACCTCTAAATAGAAATATATTTTCTATTTACCCATATTGGGTTAACAATTATATTTGAAATCTCTCTCAAGACCAATAATTTATTTTGAGGTTACCCATATGGGACTTAATATTCAACTATGAATTTTTATTTAAGAAATTATATCTAAATCTATATATATTAGGTCAGGATATATAACCATTAATGTACTGCAAACTAATACCTGCGTCAAAATCAAAATAAAACAAATTAATTCGGATTTAAACTGATAAATTATTTACAAATCTAAAACTATATATCTGATAATTCTCTTTTATTTAATAACTATTCAATGTTTACAAACCATTTTTCATATTATTTATAAACAAATTTAGAATAATAAATTAATTTATTTCAATGAACAATTGTTTTGTTTTATTTCATGCTATTATTATTATGGGATATTTAAAATCTTTAAGCCTCAGTCTCTATGAAAATATTAAATACTTTGTGGTTTAGAGCTGGCCCACAGAACTCAATTAATGAGCATGGGAAAGTGCTATTAAAAAAGGATAATCTTGGCTCAAGAAGAAACCACTAAATGGGACAAAGAAGTTGCTTGTCCCACTCCCTCAACAGACATTAAGAGCACTAGGCTGTTTCCAGGATAATGTACAGTATTTTCGCGTATATAAGACACGTCTTGTACAAAATTTTACATACCCCGCACCCAGGGTGTATCTTATATATGGGCGAGTCTTATGTAAAATATTATTTTACACAAATCGTCAAAACCTGCGTCTTATATACAGGTGCGTCTTATATGTGTGAAAATACGGTATGTGTGGCATAAGAGTATCCAAAATAGGTCAATGATTTTTTTACCCCCTCATTAGCTACCACCCCACAAAATGTGCTAGTGAAACCACTGGCTGCAAAAATAATGTTTTAGCTGGGTTTTTAAAAAAAATTAACATCACATCTTACCAATATTTATCTTTTCATGTAAAATATGCCATAATAATAATACTTTTTCTATAGTCATTTCCAAACTTTGTTAAAAATATATTGGGCAATTTTAGTAAATGCAAATTCACATTAAAAATGTATAGGCACATTTCATTTATAACTCCACCTTTTCTTTCATAGAGCTACATATGTGCAAGTCTATATTTTTGAAGCAACCTTCATGCAGCATACCTTTAATTTTTGTTAACACTCATCAAAGAAACAAATTTAGAAAGTATTAAGTATTTTATTATTTGAGGAAAAATTAGACTTATTAAGTAAGAACACTTCATAAAATTGTACAAATCCCCTTTAAAAGTACATTTGATCAAAGCCTTTTAAAAAAAAAACAAAAAAAAAACATGATTTAAAAAATAAAGTACATCTTGATAGTAAGGATTTAGCAATGTAACCATGTGATCATGATTTGTAAGAATTAAAACTAAATAAAGGCATTTGTAAAGATTACTGAAATGAGTTTTTCTACAATAGGTAAAATTTTAATTCCATGTACACCTTAGCTAAAAATTACATCATCCTTTGCAAAACATTATGAACACATCAGTGGTAATAATTAGTGTTATAACAAAAGAATTCAGTAGATCCAATTAGACCAGCATTTTAAAAGCTTTCCTAGATTAAACGATGTAGCATGATAGAACAAGTTAAGATGACATGTTCTGATAAAAATATCAGAATTAATTAAAAATTGTGACATAAAACATTCTAAGGCATGCAGTGAGCTAGATTTAATGTATAAATAGAAATATTAACATTTTAATTTAAATACAAACTGTACAAGAGCTGCCTTTCAGGGCTAACAGGTGGGAGAAACTCAGCTATAAATGCATCTATATACAAACACTTTCAAAAATATATTTTACAAATGTCAGCTACAAATTGCCAATGTGACAACCTGAGATTTAAAAAAAAGAAAAGATTTGTATGCAGTTGATTTGCATAAATTAAAAATTATGTTTTTAGCAAATCTTAAAATTTATGAGAACCTCAATTTTTACAAAAATAATTCTTTGATATTTGCTAGAAGATTCCCTAAATGGCAACTAATAATATTTAAAAGCTCTGAAAACTGTAGTAAAAAAAAATTAAAATTCATAAAAAATGTATCAACACAGGAGAAGTCCAGAATTAATTTAAATAAGACTAAGGTAATTAACCAACATCAACCTACCTCCATTAAAGAAATACTCCAAAAAATTCAAAAGAATATCACATTCAAAATAATTGGGGTCAACATAAACAAAAGCGAGTGGGTGAGGACAGCTGGCTATCTCATTTGTAACAGCTTTACTGGAAGAAAAAAAAAAATAATTTGAGCTACACTAATGACGTTGATGTTGACACCATTTGTGGAGATTTCCGATGGAGTTTTTCAAGAACAAAGGGCAGCTTACTCAGTTTTTGTTTGACAAAATCTGGCAGAGGATCAGAATGCTGGTACCTAAGTGCAATGAAAGAGATTGAATGGGAGAGAGTTTTGTTATTCAGGTGAAACCGGTACTTTAAAAAAATGCACACAAGTTATTTTGTCAAAGGAAAAAAAGGATCAAAAATTATTTTTCTTTATAAACTTGTCAAATATAAAAATTTTAAATTTTATTTAAACAGGTTTTACTTGTATACAGTGCTATTTCTTTGTCTACAGTAAAATTGTATAATTCTTATGGCAAAAACACCTTGTATCAGACCTGTTTACTCCTGGGTTAGTATCAGAGTAGTTTTCAGCTCTCAGAAACTTAGACTATTAAAACACTAATGTTTTTTTTAATCATATGAAAAAAATTATGTATTTGTAAAATTAAAAACTAATATTAAGACACAACACACAGTAAAAAATTTAACCAATAAAGGTGTAAATATATTTTTTTATTATATATCCTGACATTTGCAATTTTTCATAAATTATTAGTTTGCCTTCATTTTCAAAGTCCTGAAATATTTTAGCCATGTGTTTAGGCATCCAGATGACCCATGAGGATTGACTGTCCTGCTAATTTACTTGATATCAGGACTAAATCTAGTAGGGTGTAGTTATGACTTTTACAACCTTGGTTGCTCTCCTAACCATCATCAGTCTTTAAAGGTGCTTTTGGGCATTATTTTATTAACCCTAAGCCCTGAATATTGAAACAAAAAAAGAACAATATATTATCATATTTGGCTTACAAAAGGCAGGTCATATATCATACACACTATTATACTATTTGTACCAGTATTAATATTGCAGAGATACTATAATAGGCCTATTCTGTGTCATGAGACAGAGCCTGAGAAGGGGTATCCTTATAATTAAAATTTTGAGCAATGAAAAGTGATATAATAGCTTTTGTTTAGTGTTAATTTTGCATTATAATTAGTAAACTATACAAAAATAATTTAATAAAATAACTTAGGCCTTTAATTCTTTTAAAGGCTAGATGTTATATTGTAGATTTAAAAAAAGGCCTATCACTAAATTACAGCTGTTGCATTATTTTAAATTTACAAATCAAATACCAGACGCTTCACTTTGTTACTATTAATAATAAGTATTAATAATTGAATGATTCAAATTATTATTTTTAATATCAGTAGCCAAAATTAAAAAAAAAATTAAACTTTAAAAAGTCAGCTAAGCCCACTAAGCTTTGTAATAATTAGTCTTAGTCTAAAACTAAGACTTAGTACACTATTTTAGTCATCAGACACATAGACATAGTTTTCTATTTAAAATGGCTAACAATTAAAAACTAGAAAAACTACATTGAAATAATCATTTACTTTAATAACATAATTGTAAAATTTACTTACCTTAAAATATGATGATTCGTAAACTGAACAAAAAAATCTGTCAAAACATCATGGTACGCAATTTCATTAAAAAAATAATAAATCCTCAACTTGGAAAGGGTACGCACAATCAAGGGGAAACCACTAGCATAATAGCATTGAGGCCGATTTCAATTGATGAGCAACAGTAGGCTAAAATAGACGACACATGGCAACTTAAAGAATTAAGCATTAACAATTAGAGTACCCTCTAAAAAAAATTTATTTTTGTTGGCTAATTGAGATTGTATCCAGACTGCAAAGGCCAATCACAGTCATTCTTATTTGATTGCTTACGGAGTTAACACAAAAAAAATTGGGTAACTTTTACTGAAAACACCCCAATGATTATTTTTTAAAATTTAAATAACAAAAAAAAAAAAAAAAAAACCCCAAAAAACAAAAATTTTTTTTTTTGGCTCATCGTATGGCCGTAGTAATTAGGCTTAAAAATGTAGTTTCTACAGCAAAAGCCAAGGAGTAAACAGGTCTGTAATATTAATGCAAAAAAACACCTTGCACAACTATATAACTATTGTATTAAAATTTTTTTTTATAATGGAACCTTCTTTAGAAATATTACTTACTTATAGACTTTTCCTGCTGCATCAATATAAACTACATAGGTCTCAGAAGATTTCACATTCATTTGCGTCCCATCTTGAAACCGAACCCAAACCTCACCATTTGCTGTACTGGAGGCCCAACCAACATCTGCCACAAAAATCTGGTTGACCGAAGGTGTTGGCAGTTGTTTAGTTTTTTGACCTAGGCCACTATTACTACTTGATGAAGATGTTGCTGAGGATGGTGCTTTGTTCCCTATTGTTTTTTCAAAGGTCTGATTGGCTGTTGTACTCAAAAGTGTACCATCAAACGTTGTCATCTAATGGATAAATAATAACATAATTTTATCCTCATTTTGTATATAAGCTATAATCCTTCAGTGTATAAACTACCATCTTTCGGTATATAAGCTATCATCATTCAGTATTAGGGCATCATATAAAATAATGGCACACATGGACAGGTCAAACTTTCAATTAAATAATCAATCAACAGAATTATGATGGTTAATTTGCCTAACTCACTAAATCATCTTGGAAAAGTTTTTTATTGATATTCACTGACAATAAACAAGTCATTAAAATAGCTGTAACATTTATCAAGTTCCATTTTTGTTGAAAAATTGCTTCTTTTCACTATTTTACTGAGGTTTTGGATGTTGAGCAACCACGTGGCTGTGCCATCCCCTCAATCTGCTGCATTATAAGTGACATTTAAAAAAAAAATTAAATAAATAAATAGAGCTACTAGAAATGGCAAAATTGTGGGAGGGTACCATTTTAAATCTCACAAACCTGAAGATTTGGTATGTTCGGAGAAACACAGCCGTCATTCCTTGTCAAATCACCATTTGATCCACTGTTACTGATGCATCTGTACTCAGGCCGCCTGTCAATGCAAATAGAAATAGGAAAGTTAGGAAAAATACCAACATTATATCAATCAAGAACTGTTCAAAGTTTTAAAACTTTCTGATAATGTTAACATCTTTACTTATAATGGTAAATTCACATAAGAGATGCCATGTTTTGTTCTCCAATGGCTGCCATCTAGGTTGACGAGACCAGTTAATTCTGTCACTAAATCTAAGTAAATGTATCCCTAAACCTAACCTGAACCCTAATTCACGGCAACTTTAATAAACACGCAAATGACATCGTGGCATCCTATCCCAGTTTTAGCCCTAATAATAAATGAGATGAATAAAAAGTTAATTTTTTTAAAAAATTGATTTTAATTTTAATCAAAGTAAAGAGATATTTTACTACCATATGGCATTTCTTACAGCATATTTATAAAATCCTTGAAGTAAATTATTTTCCAAATCGTATAGTATGTTTATACTTCAAAATATAAACTGTTTATACTTTAAAATATAAACATGGAAAAGTTTACTGAAAAATTATTTGGAAATCCTAAAGTTATAGCAGTAAATATTTTTAATACCTTCCAACCAAGACAGGGAAAAGTTCATTTGCACCAGGACAAGAAGACTGAACTGCTGTAATAACTTGCTCAAGTTGAACACATTGATGCCGGCACTAAGATATACAAAGATTTGTTCAAACATATAGTTTTTTTAAAATAGATTTAAAAATCATATTAGAAAAAGAATTCTGTAGAATCAACAAAGAAACAATAATTTCTATAACTTTCATGTAATCAATTTTATAGCATCTGAACAATATCTGGTAAACTTTAACAAATTCATAGCGTTTTTACGATTAAAAATATTTAGATAAATTCAAAAATGTGCCAAAGAAACATTAGAATACAACTAACCTGATTGACATATTCTAAAATATTTCTGGTTTCGGAGCTGAGCCTGGCATTATCTACTGCTGACTCCAAAGTTAAGGATGTTCCATCTTTCTCTATTATCTTAACACCTTTTTTCCCAGATGAAAACTTTGTACCTAAATAATATTTAGTAAAAGTATAACATTAATTACATAACACTGATGAGAATAAAATGTTTACTGATTACATATATTTCATGAGCCTACTTTCTTTTCATCAAATTAGCAAAATTTAGTCTTTACATAATGCTTCCTAACCACTCATTCTTGTTTGATGAATCTTAACACTGTTTCATAACCACTCATTCTTGAGTGACAAGTCTAAACACAGTGTATCCTAACTGCTCATTCTTTTGTGACAAGACTTAAGACCTTGTTAGGTAAACGCTCATTCTTAAGTGACATAGCTCTACACTAAAGAAATAGCATCCCTCTGCAAACTACATGCATATATTGATATCCTCTGAAGTAAAATATAAATGTATTAAATGACTCTTTATATTTTGTACCATCCTAGTTTACAACACTTGCAAAATATATGTCTAGCACAAAGCCATTCTCATCCCTTCAGAACATTACTTTTAAACAGATAATAATAATATTTGTTTTTGCCATTGAGTAAATTCCTATAAATACAACAAATTACTAACACAAGAACATTTCAGAGTAAAGAAATGTTGAAACTCACCATCATAGAACTCTGCACAGAAATTTGTGTTTTCCATCAGCATACATTTAGCCCTGTGTGTGTACAATGTGACTTTTGGTGTCCCAGCTTTAGCTATAGCTACAAACCTAAGGAGGAGAACCAAAACCTTATAGCAATAGGCGGTCTGCCACAAGTGTCTTTGGAATTTGGTACTGACCAGTCTGGACATGTCCATATCAACAGGGATTCAAAATATCTTTTATCTTTGAACCATTCGGAGAACAGAAGAGAAATATTTGACAACAAAATTTAAAATGTTGATATAGAACATTTCCAGAGCTGAAAGATTATTTCAGAATATACCATTGACTGTAAAATTTAAATAAAAAGTGAAAAATATATTACAATAAATGAAGCAGAGGTTACTAGCCAGAAGTCTGCAGACAACTAGTAAAAGATAACTCTATGATTTAATTTTAGATTTGAAGGAAAGCAAAGTGGCTGCAGTGAATGATCAATGAACCACTGGACTAAATCAATTTACATTTATTTGTATTCAACATATAAGCAACAAAAAAATTAACATACACAACAATGAAAGTGTGTGTGTGTTGGGGGGCTGGTGTCACTTGCGGTGGTTTGGGTGTGTGTGTGTGTTGCACTTAAGCAAAGTAGAATGATTGGATTATTAAATTGGATTTTGCTATTAGAATCCTTATTTCTACTAGCGCTAATTCAAATTATATAAAAATCAATATTATTTAGGGGATTAAGGTATCCAAAGACTTAATTACACGCTTTAAAAAAAAAAAGGATTAAATTTGATTTACCTGGCTGCGTATTGATATTTCTTCAAATATTTTACAGGAATGTTAGGGAACTCAAATGTTTTGCACTTGTCTGGCACAGGTACAGGTTGTTCAGAGACACTCACAAACTGGGTCTTAGGAGGCACATAAACTTTCATCTGGGGAGTTAAGATAATTTATTTATGCAAAACAATTAAGTTGCTCATTTATGTAAACCTGTGAAACAAAAGATATGAATGTTAACTTAAAATGAAATGGCTATTGGTTCTTTAAATAGTGCATCATTATTTGGTCCAAGATGCCCCATTCGTGATGCCTCTAAATAAATAGAAAGCCATTGCACATCAAGTCAGTAAGATTAATTTATGAATATTAAAAACAACAGATGGATAGCTTAAGTTTTATTAATGTAACCAGTATTGATGCATACACAGTGATTAAAAATTTCAGTGGGATTCATGTCCCTTTAATCAGAAGAATGCAATCCTCTTTTCAATATCGAGAATTTATTTTCTTACAAAAATTATCTTAAAAAATATTTCTACTTATATTAGTTTTTTTCCCTTTCAACTGCAACTTTATTACAGTGTTTAGAATTTTTTAGAGCCAAATAATATCTACCTTTTTACCTAAAACACAAAATAAGTGACCTTCTGGTTTTACCACTTAAAATGGTTGTAATGTGGGACTATTGGTCTTCAGTGAACAAAATGGTGGCCCTGAATATTTTCTTCCTCTCATAAAATATTTGTTACATGCTCAAATATTCAAGTAAAACTACTAAATGAATTACAAATATACAAAGGGTAAAGAAAAACATGAAGAAAGACAATATCAGAAAGTGACAATTCTGCCTTTTAAGCCTTGGACAGCAAAAACAGTTAAAAAGAGAAAAACAATCTTAGCTTGTATAAATATGTAGTAACCAGGAAATTTTAGACCTATTGAACTACAGAAGTGAGCCATCAACCTGTACGCAGTCCTCTCTGTATTTCTCTTATAAATGAATTACAGTCTAAATCCCAATATATATTGTTACCTTTCTGCCATCTTTGGTTATGAGTATGACATCTAAAACTCTGTCGTCTTGACCTTCTCTTCTGAGGAATTCCATACACACATCTCCATTCTCTTGAATGTGGACCTGGGAAAAACAAGTATAATTTATATAACATATTTATTTTTACTTGATAGCTCAAAAGTAAAAGCCAAATGGTTTTTGTGTGTATGTTTTATAGTTGTTTTTTTAAAGACTAGACACAAAAATTGAAATTCAAACAAAACATCTATACAAGTTCTTTGCTGCATGGCACCAAAATGTGAAAACCTTTTGTAAATGGAAAGAAAAAGCACTCCTCTTTAAAGCAACCAAATAATCAGAGAGAAGTTATTGAATTAGCTGAAGGGGTCTTAAAGCAAAAAAAAAAAAAAACAACCAAAAACAACAACACAAACACAATACTATGCTGTTATTAGTTTTCTTACCAAATGCAATTTAAATTTATTTTATGAAAAACCTTTTGAAAAAGAAAAGAAAAAGCACTCCTTTTTAAAGAAACCAAATAATCAGAAAGAAGTTATTGAATTAGCTGAAGGGGTCTTAAAACAAAAAAAAAAAAAAAACAACCAAAAACAACAACACAAACACAATACTATGCTGTTATTAGTTTTCTTACCAAATGCAATTTAAATTTATTTTATGGTAAGGGATATTTTTAATTTAAAAAAAATCTTAGTAAGTTAATGTTAGTACAAATTATGTAACCATCTGTAAGTAAAATTATTGATAATGTGGAATTTAAAACCATCTAATGTAAACCGCGTGTACTGTATTTTCCCCCTTATTTTTTCATATGTTGAAAATCTCAACTTTGAAAGACAAGTTCTGAAAATTATTCGGTCACTACGACCTACCACTGCATTTTTCATTCTCTGACGAACAGGCCTTAATCTTTCTGTGTTAAATGGTTCAAGAATATCATTCTCTGTATCCAAGGCATCATTGGAACCTCCTTTCCCCTTCTCTCCTTTCCCCTTCTCTTCTGTCCTTTCAGATGTAGCTGCTCTGTGCCCTCGATTACAATAACGAACTTCCTGCTCTGTCAGCTGGTTTCTTCTTGGGCCTGGTTCTGGACTCGAAAACTGAAAAATGTTAATGACATTTGCTTTAAAATCCATGAAAAAAATCCACCCAACACCTGTTGTTAGTAATATAGAAATGTACATTTTAAAAACGATTTACGTTAAAACATGTCAAGACTGGATCTAGCATTAAAGATTCTATTTTAAAAAACAAATAACATTCAAGAAAAGCACTATTATTCTATTTAAGATAGATTAAAGAGACCAAATGTGTGTAGATAAAATAATATATATAATATATATTAACCTTTAATAATCAGAAAAATACAAAATCAAATGTTGCGGCAAATGCCTTCATCAGTACAACAAAAACCATTTATTGTTTGTGTCTCATCAATTTACTTAAGCGCTTTAAACGCATTCCTACCCTTTGATAATTAGTTTTATTTAAGGTAGTTTATTTAAGGCAGTTAGAAGAAGAAGTTAGACTGGAAGAAGTTTGAGAACTGTGCCGATTCGTAATAACTTAAGTATAAACTTCTGATTTAGTAAATCATTCAAACCTTTATTTTATGTATTCCAAATCAAAGATATTTTATTTAATCTCTGTATAGCAGTAATATTTATTTATTTAGGCATTTTTATATAGTGCTTACCTTACAGCTCTAAGCGCTTTACAATTATTAAAAACATGCTAACTATTTAAACTGCTAAAGTAAAATAAAAAGGAAAAACAAGAGACATTAGAATAGTAACAACTATGTTAAAAATGACTATAGAAACAGTAGCTTAAACATTAAAATGGCTATAAAAACGAGTACACTTTGGCATGTTTTGGCCTATACTACAGGATCAACCCGAGACAGAAAATGAGGCAGGGCAACGAGGGTGCATCACAGGTCATAGGCGGACCTAAACAGATGGGTTTTAAGGGACTTTTTGAAAGTGGACGATGTTTCACAATGACGGATGTATATATATAAGTATACTATTCCTATTCTTTTATATTCTATGTAATTAATCTCTCAATAATTGAGTGAAATCATGATGTGCTACATCACATTTGATTTCATTGTAGTTTACCTGCACAGGAACATCATCATGCATAAACACTGGAGATTTTTTCATTTTTTGATTCTCTCTGAGGCTGCTGACATTATCACATTGCTGGCCAAGGTAGTTCTGAACTTTTTGCATGAGGTCTTGTGTTTGCATATTGGCTGGATCTTTGTATGTGTACTGTAAAATTTCATGTGAGCTACTGGATACTGACTCAGATTCGAAGTTGAGAACCTTTCGAGTTGCATTGAGACTAAAATCTGATGTGCTCTGGCTGGAAGACACTGATCCTGGGTTGTGATGGGGACGGTACGGCCGAGGCGGGGCATCAGGTTTAAGGGATGGAGGAGGCTGTCCCCCACAGCTGCGATCAGTGGTGTCTGTAAACATCAAGTTACTGAGTTGCTGGCTTGTTTGTTGAAGATTATAGTTGTACACGCCAGGTCTCATTGCATGTTTTGTTTTCCGCAGTTCTTCTTCAGATTGACTAAAGATGAATAAAAAAGACTGACTCAATCATACGTAGAGTTAATAAATAAATAATTATATTGTTACTATTCTTTCTGTCATAATTCTATGCATTTGAATCAATAAACATATATACATGACTTGAATGTATATTTTTTTTGGGATCTAGCAACTTCAAAGTGATTTCAACGTGATCAACTGTGTGAAATCTTGCAGTAAAAAAAAATAAACACAACACACCCCTTAGCACAGGATAAGTCAGTCTCATATGCTTATTAATAAATCTCTGCCATCAATGATTAGGAGTATTTATCTTAACTTATCTTACATTAGGTGTAAGAAATTTTTCAGTTAACTGATGATGCATAAGAACTGTTTCAGTTAAATAATGGTTTTCCCGATCTCACCTGTCTCGTTCTCTAACAGGTGGACTGGCTGGGTGCCTGCTGATAATACTTGATCCCTGGCTAATGCTGGTCCATGCAGAGCCTCGTCCATCAGATCCAAAGTGTTGATGGCTATAATGCTCATTGTCTTCTGCTATTTCTGACTTATGATGAAATGCTGGCATGGGCTTGTTATGGCCATTACTAGAATGACTGTATTTTGTAGATGTAATTGTTCCACGCCCACTATCCATGGACATCTCTGGCATCTGAAAAGTATAATTGAATCTACAGGCAATGACATTTTTTAGACTCGAATATTGTAAAATTACAAAAGATCAGAAAATCTTTTAACTTGAGTTTCTGTTATATTAAAGGTCTCAAAAATTTTGTTAGAAAATTTTCTAACTAAATTATAACTTCCTATGTTTAAGTTATTGAAAGCTTATGGCGTTAATCATTCTGTTTTAACAGATTTTAAGTCTAACATTGAAATCACACATACCTTCATAACCTTCTTCATACTGGGTTTGTTCAACATAAATTTATGGGTGAGGATTTCTGTGGAAGTAAAAATGAATAACTGGAATATACATCTAAAACACAAATAATGTCTAAAACTTAGAAATATTACCTTGAAAAAGAAACACGATGAATAAAAAAAACCATTGTTTTGTGAATACTTATAACTTTAGTTGATAAAGTTGTGATTATGACTTTAGTTGATAAAATTGTGATTATGACTTTAGTTGATAAAGTTGTGATTAAGATCAGCATTATTTTATCACAAGTTTGTAAATGCAGAAAAAATAAAATTTCAACCTCTAAGTGGTATCCTATCCTTGGGATTCTTGCACAGCAAAGCTTGAATTAGATCACGAGCCTCTGGACTTATATTCTTTGGCAGGTGGTATTCAGCTGAAATAACCCGGTTCAGTGTACTTTTAACAGCATCTGTATCAAAGGGTGGATGGCCAACCAAGAATGTGTAAAGCATACATCCCAAGGACCAAACATCGGACTCAAGACCATGTGCTGATCGCATTGCAATTTCCCTATTAATATAAGAAAAAAAAAGGGTCATTACCTTCCCGACTTTACAACAGAATAATTAATGCAACGAGTTCATGAATAATATTAGAGTAGAAACTGTTGACGAGAATGTATAAGCTATACCAATTTACTATAATTAATGAACTAATTCTACACAAGGCTTTAGCCAAAAGAAAAAGTTTTTATCAGATGTTGTGTTGTTAATTTATTTCTAGATGATATCACGACACACTTAAGAATATAGAAAAATAGGAAAATAAAGTAGTGTTGTTATTCCTCTGCTAGTGCATTTTTACAACCCAGAAGTTTAAGAAGCTATCTACCCTAAAGCCACCTGGTTATGTTTTAAATAGTTTCCTATTTTAATAAATTCCTAACATTAAGCATATAAGAAATCAGAAGTGAAAAAGTTTTTGTTGCTCAAAACAAAAATAGCATTGTCCTATTTCTAGAGTGGTCAAAGGAAACTCATTAAAATGTTCAATTTTTTGTATGCGCTGCTGGTACAGTATTTTATAACTATGACAAAGCTGAAGAGCTAGAGCTTAACTTACGGAGAAATATAATTGGGCGTTCCACACATTGTAAAATGTTTTTCCTCTGGGCCTTGAAGCTGAGTAGCCAAACCAAAGTCAGCGATTTTCTAAATGTTGAAAAAAAAAAAGGTATTAACATTTGAAACAATGAAAATGTATGATTTTCACTTTCTTTTTATTTATTTATTTATAGAAATAAAATATGACAAGTGCACAACAACAAAAAAAAAGCAGTAATAATTTTCTTTACTCAGCTTAAAACTATTAGACTGCACTTCAGTATAAAACTTTTTAAGTAGATCTTTTATGTGTTATTTTATGTTAATGAAATATGCACTAAGAGAAAGTAATGACCAAATACTTACCACATTCATGTCTTTGGTTAAAAGCAGATTAGACAGTGACAGGTCTCGATGAAGTATTCCATGTGAATGAAGGTATAAAATTCCATCCACAATCTGACGCATAAATCTTCTGGCCTCATCTTCCGCGAAAGGTTGAGCCCGAGACTGTAAATAGCGGTGCATTTCCCCATTGTGGCAAAGTTCAAGGACTAGATACACATAATTGCTGTCCTCAAAATAGTTATAGAGCTAAAACCAAACAAAATTAATTGTTAAAATGTTTTAGAAAAAGTGAGAGCATAAAAAGTAACTTGAAATGAGCATCTCAATAACCATTTAGAGTTTATATTAAAACATAACTTTGTGAACACTAAAGATTAGTAATAGTTTTAAAAGTCTGAAGATTATGATAAAGTGAAATGAGGATTGTACCTGTAAAACAGATGGATGCTTCAATCTAGAATGGATTTCTACCTCCTTCCTGACTCGATCACTCATGCAAGCTTTTTTCATCTTTTTCTTGTCAATCTGATAAATGATTGAACATACTACAATATTAATTAAGACTTGACGAGTATCTAGGATTATTAGATATAGTATAGAAAAGTGAAGCATCTATGATAGGGTATTAAAAAAGATGTATGCATGTTACGAGAAATTTGATTATTCAGGGCAGTTTTCAAAATGCTTGGTCATTATGAATAATGACCGATAAAATCTGGCAATTTAATAACTTGTATTTGTCTACGATAATCTAGGATAATTTATTACATTGCCCGGTCATTATAAATACTGCTATTATTTCTCTGGTCACTTTAATTAATTGACAGCAATTTGGCAACGTGCGTATGGTATGATTCTTGCTGGCCAACCAGCAACCATTTTCTTTAGCGGAGCTAGGTCCAAGTCAACGAGGAGGAACTATCTTCTATTGATAGTTATGTTCAACCTTCAACTTCGTTATCTGAACCAAGTTCTGATTTCCATAACAACAAAAGAGAAATAAATGTCTCTGAGCCACCTGATATTCAAGTCTCAGGTCATGAAAAACACGCGTATGAAGGTTATGAAGATTCCTCAGAGGATCCCAATGTTAAAAAAAAGAAAAGACGACAAAAATAAAATTTGGGGACATTTCAGCAAGCAATATAAAAAACAAGCTGAAAATTGCTTCAAACCTCTAATTCAAAATACCTGGCCGCTAAAAAGGGTGACACAGTTAGAGTTCGAGATGACGACAGAGGTGACACTGATGGAAGAAATATTGTGTAATTTGTTCTTGAAATAACAGATGCCAATCTTTATAAATTAGGCACGAAACATGGAATCCTAAATCAACTTTAAGCTAGGAACCAATTTACAATATGTAATGAAAAGTTTCTTTATGCCGAAGAAATTCTTCAGTCAGAGATTTCAGTAAGAGAATGTGCAAGAATGTCATCCAAGACTGGGGGTGAAGGCTATAGTCGATGTGGCTGTAAATGTGGCTGTAAATCTGACAAGTGCCGTAAAGAAAAAAAGCTGTGTAACTCGAAATGTTACCAAAGTGGAAGCTGCTCTAATAAATAGAAACTGTTAAGACTTGACATTTTGTGTGTATATGTGTTTGTAAGTACAAACCTAATATGTTTTTTTTTAGTTAGGCGTACATATTTTTTATACTTATTTTATCACCACCAGTTTTTTTTTTTATTTCTTTGTTAGTTATTTAAAAATTTGTTTTAATATAATATCCTCTTATTTTTGTATGTAGAGAAATATGAATAAAAATTTTCTCAAATTGCCCACTCGATTTCCAGAATTATTCATAATGCCCAGGCAATGTAATATTTTCTACATAATTATCATTTTGTTACATCCCATTGGGCACTTTTTAAATTGTCAGGGCATTATATAAAAATGCCCAATTATTCACATTGCCCGTAACATGTATACATTTTAGATTTTTAAAAAAATTAAGAGAATAACTTTTTACAGACAGATTAGACAAATAAAAAAGTGTCCATAAGAAGATGTTATTCATAGTAAGCTCATTGGAAAAAATTAAACAGAAAAAAAAGAGGAATGGTGGAAGCTGATGCTTTAGTTTGGGTTTCTCCCATCTGGTTGAGCTCTCTTAGTCTTCCCTTTTTGCAGACTCTTGCATCTCCTAGTAATTTATATTACGGTACATCATTCAGTGTTGAAAAGTATACCTTTTTACCTACACTAATTAATTTTCTCAGCATATTAAAATACATCCATGGCTCTGTAAAATATAATTTAGTAAACCCCCCATAAAAAGCGACAAACTATGATAAAACTGTTACAATTGGAGCTACATATAACATTCTTATCAAGATTTATCATGAAATGCCTTTCCTTATTATTTTAAATAATTTCTATCAAAATACAGTAAACTGTATTACATTTTTAAATAGACTATAATTTCATAAGTCGCAGCCAGTTTCAAACACTCAGTCTTGATGTAACTCTGCTAAGCTAAATGTACACTGCTACAGCAACCAATGAAAATATCAAACTGGACTGTACCATTTTAATAGCCACTTCCTTCTCCTCCCTGTCAGGAGTGTGGCACAGTGCCCTGTACACATCTGCAAATCCACCAGTTCCAAGCAAATTGTATACTCGATAATCCTGAAATCAAAGAGGCATTTTTTTTGGCAGGTAGAGGGAGTCATGTGGAACAATGTTTGATAAAAGGTTCTAATTTTTATTAAAAATCTCTGATGTTTTCATTTTAACAAATAGTTGGTTATTTACAAAGAGGCAATCAGTGGGCAAATACTGAAAAAATAAGGCAATAGAAGAAGATTACTAATAAATTAAAATGAGCCCATCCTATTATATTTAATCACTAACACCGTTTCTAATTTTTCTCAGCACAAATCAAAGTCGACTTAACCAGTCAGTAAACCAGTGAAGTCCCTCCTATAAAATTAAAGCTGACCACACAACGACCCCTGAAACCCCTTATTTTCCTACTATGAGAGGACCCACTGCTGCCAGGAAAACGTCTTTCCATTTTTGTAGGAAGGGGTTTTTCGAGGGGTTGGTCAGCACTTTTCCCCTTTATATTGGACCATTTTGGACCAACTGAAGATAAAAAAAATAATTTCCGTGGTAGTGGGGGAAAAGTCTTGGCCCATTCCTGGCAGTACTAACCCTCGACACACCACCGAGACAATCTTCTTCATCCCTAGCTGAACCGTAACAATAGTGTTTCAGTACATCAAGATCTGACCGAAAAACAATGCTACCGAGTGTCGTCCATGGCTTGAGATGTAAATGGTTTTAAATATACATTTGATTTGTTTTATTTAATTAATGTATGTCAATTAATTATTTTGCATTTTTTATTATGTTTGTTAAATTGTATGTACAGCGTGGTGAGCCCAGCCCTAGGCTGGGGTACCATGCTATATAAAACCACGTATAATAATAATACAACCACTATTTCCCTGGTTTACTCCTGGTACCCAAATCCCTGATCCGTTCATTACATTTCCTTGGTCAGCTATTATGTTTCTCTGGTCTGCTCATAACATTTCCCTGGTCTGGTCATTATGCAGGAGTTGGAATGCATTGGAACTTTGCATAATTTTTGTCCTGTCACGAGGAGGAAAGTTTGGTGCCCCATATTGGCCATGGGTCTTAGTTCAGAAAAATTGTCATTAGATTCAGTTGTCTATGTGTTAAATTGTATGTGTGGTACTTGTCAGTGGGTTCATTTATCTGAAAACTTTCTGCTGCACTGGTCGGAAATCAATTTATAATCCCCCAACCAAGACTTCCTAGGGGATATTCCAAATGCACTGAAGAGAAGGGGCGCAATGCCAAGCATCAGTGTCATTATAATACAATCATCTGCCAAAGATTGTCAATAAAATATACAAAGTTGGAAATCAATTACAAGAGCTCAGATTACATCATCAGTAAATACTTCACGTCTAGTTTTTAACTTTATTTTATGAATACTGCATTAGGTCTGAGCCCGGCAAAAGGGGTAAAAAATTAGACACAAAATAGCTGAATAGACAATAAACAAACGATTTTTGATCGACTGATGTAAAAAAACAAAGTTTTGTAATTAAAAATCTGGCTAAAATCGTATCTGGAAATTTGTTTGAAAGAAATTTCGTCTAGGGAAAATTGATTGACGGAAATTTGATTAGAAAAGAAGTTTGGTTGAATTTTGTTTTCAGTTCAGAAGATTTTATTTTGCATCCAATTTATTTTTGAGCGCATTATTATTTTTTTTACTATATCGTATTGTGCGTTCAAAAAGAAATTTGATGAAAATCTGATTGTGTGAACTGAAAAAAAAAATTCGACCAAACTGTCACTCAATTTTCCGTCAACGAAATTTCATCCAAACAAATTTCCGGTAACAGGCTAAAATAGAGAATCCGCGCCATGACGCCACTTAAGTGTTTATGTTAAGTTTCTGTGTTGGATTCCACTCCCCTTTGTGTTGTTACTAGTACTAGCTTTAACATTTCTTTAATACGACAATGGCATGCTTTAAATAAAATTTCATTGGTTGGTTAATTAAAATATTTAAATTTTCGGCATTTGGAAAATAGGTATGATATTATATTTCATTGATTTTTCTGACAAATTTTGGATTTTGTTTTTGGTGGAACCTGAAATAAAGTGTGTAAAAGAATATTCTATGAAAATGTAAGTTGGGTTTTTATTACTTTAAAATTCTTTTGCTTTGTTTTTCTTCATTTTTAAATTTGTCTTGACCACAGTGGGTAACTGTAGCAAGAGAAATGAGCATGTACCTGTTGAAATTATGTCTCAAAGGTGGTTACAGCAGGTTGTTGACACTTCTGGCCAAATATCTAAATGGATACAATGAAGTAGCTTCGCTCGCCACGAAATTTATATACGGCTGAAATTATTTCATTAAACTTGTATGTTTTTTACTAAATTTTTACATTTTCATTTTTAATGTGTTGAATTGTTCACTTTTTTTACACAGTCGCCATCTTGATTGTCAAGACCTGTGACCTTTTACAGGTCGTGGCAACAAGAGGGTGGCCATGTGAAACATGATGTCGCCGATAGTCCAAATTTACCAAAAATCCATATAAAGCCAACAAAAATACTTGATGACTATCTAGTCTGAAAACAATAAATACTTGCTCTATTCACAATTGAAGTGTTTTAATCAAAAGTTTTAATGAAGTTCCATCTGGTAAGTAGGGAGTTTTTAATTTAAATCACTTAAATATGATCACTTGTCAATGGTGTTTAATTTATTGTACTAAAATTATATTACCCTGATATCTTTAAGCATAAAGCCAGGCATATCTACTGTACAAGGTATTCATTTATTTTTTCTCCAAATAAATGATTTTAGACTTAGAGTCACAAGTTAGGCTGATTAAATTAAATAGTCTTCCTAAGCAAGGGTGACCAAATCATGAACTGGACACAATCAAGGAGGCTTAGGGGGGATACCCTCCAGCTAAAGAGGAATCTGGGGGCCTCTGCTGGAAACTGTTTATTGAAATATGCTCATTTTAACTATTTTGAGACCTAGAAATCTTTTTAAATTTACCTTCTGTAATTTAATTTAAACTCTGAGGCATATCATAAACGAAAACAATAATTTTGCAGCGTCACCAAAGTGGTGGAGGGGGAACAGTGCAGCCATCACTAGAGCCCACATCACTACTGGCACTGGCTACAGTTACACAGCTAGCCAAAATATTACTTGAAGTTATATTATAAATGAGGAAATTTTAGTGATTTGAAAATATGTTTCGTTTTAGAAACGGGACATTTAGGCGTTCCAAGAGACTTTTTCGGACACTGGGTATGATGGTAAAATAACGGAACAAAATCCGGGACGTTTGGGTCACCCAATCCTAATAATAATCTACTAGTACTACTAAAATGTGTAGCTTAGCCTACATCTAGATTAAATGAATCTTTTTCCAAGACTGTTTGTTGATTGAATTCAATTCCTATTTGATTGAATTCCATTCCTATTTTATTGAATTCTTGCTGGTCATGGTATCCAGTGTAAACATTTGATTCACCAATACAATAACAAGTTCTAACTTGTCAATGAACGACTCGAATAATCTCCCCTGAATTTTTCTCTATTGAATTTGTTCCATTTCCATACTCAAAACTGTATAAACTTTGAGAGAGATTATTACCTTAATGCTTTCTGAGACAGCATTCATCTTAATTTTTTCTTATTTAAGTAATCTTTAAATATAAAACAGCACGAATAACAAATCAGTTCCAAGGTCAAGGAGTGCTGAATATAGTAAAACGTGTACATTGTTATGGAATTCCATATTGTGTTGCCATATTTTCAAAAGAACGCGCCGCATCAAAACAATTTAGTTCGGCACTTAATAGAAAAATATTTACAATAAAATGCGATGCATCTATTAAACAATAATTTATCCCAGAACAAATTTTATTGGTGTATCCATTTTATTTACTTAATATAATACACATAAATATTTATTAAATTATTGATAAAAATATTATTATTTTGCCCGAACTATGGTTTTACGGTGACTAACCATTTTCATTACCTAGTAATGAAATCCACTACCACGTTCAATGCAAATTTTGAACGAGTGCAAATAAATGTAGTAAAAGAATAGGTTCCCAAATTACTTATTATTACTTCTTCTCATTTGCCATTAATGATATATAAGCCGTTCACACGTTCCTTCGATTTTTCTATGTTCTGAGCTATTCTATCCAGCTCATTTCACTTCTTGCGACTTGCGTTACTCTAACTCGCTCTCTCGAGCTCCCTTCTCCGTGTTGTTCCCTTGTCTTCCTCTCTTTCAGAGAAAATGTCAGAGGATTCCACGACAGTGATTGTATAGTAATATACGATTTAGGTTTTCTCAATGTATAGAAAACACATTTTCTTTTCCTTCTCTGGTTTACCGTCTCAAATGATCTTTTCCTGATAGATAAGTTCACATTTTAGTTGTTTTTAAAAAAAAAAAAACAATTTCTTTTTAGACCATTGTACCAAAAATATCTTGTGGATAAAAATGTATACTCTTGGTGTTGAATTTGGTTTTTCTACACGTTTCACCGCCCATAGAGAAGAACATACTCTATATTTTTATTTGTATATTTTTTGATACATCACAATCACTCTCTATACTAATATGCTAAAAAGGAACGTGTCATCAAGATAAATTTTTGTTTGTTTCGTTGAGATCAATTAAAGAACAGTAATCTTTATTTCATTGCATTTCCAAAACTTATTTATTTAGTGTGTTGATTGCTCTACTCTGAATGACCAACACTCAGACACATGGCCAAAGTGGAGAACTTGCGTTTGGCCGACCTTGAAAAGTTTAAATTGTCTCATCTAATTATCTATTGGCTTAGGAACTACTGATTATGTATAAAAAATTTGATTTAATTTTAAGGATTTTCGGTCATCCTGTGAAATATTTATTGTCTATCTATAGCTCAGATTGCCCCCCCCCCCCCCCCCCCCCCCCCCC